TGCACTTCTCACCAGGTATCCCAAGAAGCTGGTGGAGACCTACTCGGTGTTCCCGAACCAGGATGAGATGAGCGATGTTGTAGTCCAGCCCTACAACTCTCTGCTGACACTGAAGAGGCTGACCCAGAATGCTGACTGTGTGGTAAGAGGCCCGTGGTGCAGCGAGCCCCAGGGTGACAGCCCTGTCTCCACAGCCCATGCTGGGGCAAGTGCTGCAGCAGCACCATGTGCCTGTGAGCCTCGGATGTAGCAACAAGTGTGCCCCGAAGAGAAGGGCCGAGCAGATGTGGTGGTCCCAGGGACCCTCGTTGGCTCTGTGCTAACCCCTGTGGAGCTGACTGGTGTTCCTGCCTCTGGGATCCAGCAGATCTTCTTGAGTCAGTGAGGGCTGTCTGTGCTTCCCCTGTACAGCTGTGCTGCAGCCTCTGCCTGAACTCGATCCCGGCATTGCTTTCACACCCACAACCCCCACAGCCAGGCAGCACCTTCAGCCTGCACTGGGGCCTTGGGTCTGACTGAGGTGCTACTTGTCCCCTGCAGCTGATCCCTGCATGTGGCAGGGCAAGAGCAGCTTCACCAGAGCTGCTGGGGCTGGTGCTGGGGCTGGTGCTGGCCCAGGGGGCAGAGCTTTCGGGGAAAGCACGGGGAGCACAGCCAGGAGGGAGGGAAGAGCTTCCATTGACGGTGTCGGTTACACTGCACAGATGAGTCAGCTTGTGGTTTCGAGTGTCTGCCACCTGCACAGAGGGCTGTGCTGGGCCCTGGGACACGTAGCCAGGACTGCCCTTCCTCAGCTGCCTCCGAGGCCCTTCATGGAGCCGGGTTTCTCTTGCAGGTGGTTCTGGACAACACAGCCTTGAATCGTATCGCGACAGACCGGCTGCACATTCAGAACCCGTCGTTCTCGCAGATCAACCAGCTGGTGAGAAGGGCTCTTCAACATGAGGCTTCCCTGCTGTGTTCAGCTCAGCCTTAACCTGTTCCATGGGCTGGGCTCACGGGTGGGCAGCCTGGAGCTGTGAGTGAGAGTCCTCTGCCCTTCTGGGTGCTCCAGCTTCCCCTGGCACGGCCGCACGAGGCAGGTTGTGACACGCCCTGTGACGCTGTGGTGACACGGGTGCTGACCCCGTTCTCTCTCTTCCCCACAGGTCTCCACCATCATGTCTGCCAGCACCACCACACTCAGGTATCCCGGGTACATGAACAACGACCTCATCGGGCTGATCGCCTCGCTGATCCCCACGCCCCGGCTGCACTTCCTCATGACGGGGTACACGCCACTCACCACCGACCAGTCGGTAAGGCAGCCCCAGGCACCCCTCCCCATCCCCCAGGGCAGGGGAAGCTGCCACGCTCACCTCGTAGCATCTGTCAGTCCCGTGTCTCGGTGTGAGCTGTCGCTGCATGCCCCACATCCCAGGCCTGTGCGCTCACACCACGTGATGGCCGCGTGTGCAAAATGAATCAGACATAAGCAGGCAGCTGTGCATGTGCCAGGCTACCTGCTGCATGCATCAGGGCGGCTGTCGAGATCACAGGGTAAAAAGCCACTCTCAGAGCAAGGCCAGCAGAGTGGCCCTGCCAGTCCTGCCGCAGCTTGGGCCATTTGGGTCCAATCTCTCATTGTTACTCCTAAATTCATGTTGGACTCCAGGCGTCAGCCCCTTCCTGGGGCTCGAGCTGTGTCTGGGAAGGGACTTGCCAGCCCTCAGCACATCAAGCACTGTGCTTGCATTTGGCTCGTCCCCAGCCAGGGCTCTCCACTCCCCAGTGCGAATGGGGCAGTTCTGGTTTGGGAGGCACTCGCCTGCACTGGCCCGTCAGGAGCTAACAGCTGCTCTTCTCCTCTCCCTCCGTGCATTTCCTCAGGATGTTGCTCAGAGAAGCAAATCTGAAAAACTGCTGGCTCTGAAAAGGGTATCAGTGTGTGATCTGTCCTCCCAGGGGAGGAGTGTGGGCACGGCTCAGCCAGTGGCTCAGACGGTGCAGGAGGAAGCTGCCACCTCACCCAGCTGTCCCTGCTGTGAGCACTCGGTGTGCTGGGCCCAGCTGTGACCCCCATGACTGGTGGCAGCTGAGCAAAGCTCAGACAGCACTTGGGGAATTGCAGTGGCTGGTCTGCCCATAGCTGGGAGCTGGGCAGGGCAGGGAGGGGATGGAGTGGGGAACAACCCCTCTTCTGTCAGACCCCCACTGCTCTCTGCCTCAGCAGTGGGACAGGACCCTACTTTGACAGCTATAATATGAAATGGGTCCCTGTCCCTCTGCTGTCAGCTGAGCTTCATCCTCAGCCCCTGCTGTGCTGTGGGGGGAGGCAGACAGCCCCCGTGCTGGAGGCTCCACTGACAGTCTATTCAGCCTGGCTGTGCCTGTTGTGTGATTTTGGAATTTTTCTCCTGCATGTGGCTTTGCACGTGGCCCCATCCCTGGGGTGAGGGCACCTCTGTCCATCTGCCCCCTCTGCTGTATGTGTGTGCTGGGCAGTGGGAGGGTGGGGAGCAGCACACCTGCTCCCTCTGACCCCCGGCTGGCCTGTGCAGGTGGCCAGCGTGAGGAAAACCACAGTCCTGGACGTGATGAGAAGATTGTTGCAGCCTAAAAACGTGATGGTGTCCACAGGGCGAGACAGGCAGACCAACCACTGCTACATCGCCATCCTCAACATCATCCAGGGGGAAGTGGATCCTACACAGGTGAGCTCCCACAGCCATTCAGGTGCTGATGGCCTTGGTGTGGCCCAGAGAAGGCGCATGGTCACTGCCTGTGCAGCGATCCTGGGGCAAGTGCCTGAGAACTGGCTCCAGGTTGCTCCTGTGTGAGCTCTGCCCTCTTGGAAAGGCCACAGTCCTGCTGAAATCCACCTTCCTGTGGCCATGCCTCCTGTGAGGAGCAGCTCTTGGGTCTGCTGGGACCAGGCTTTTTGCCCTTCACCCTGCTTCCCCTTGGTGTTCTCACCCCACCAGGTTCATAAGAGCCTGCAGCGGATCCGGGAGAGGAAGTTGGCCAACTTCATTCCCTGGGGCCCTGCCAGCATCCAGGTGGCTTTGTCCCGCAAGTCCCCTTACCTGCCATCCGCTCACCGCGTCAGTGGTCTCATGATGGCAAACCATACCAACATCTCCTCGGTGAGTGCCTTCCCTGCCCCACTGGGCCCCACAGCCCTGGTGTCCCTTCAGTCTGGGGCCATCACGGAGCCAGGGCAGGCCCCGCCAGGGTGTGGGGTGGGTGGCTCCCAGCAGGGCTCAGGTCTGGTCCAGGGTCCCGTCAGTCCCGCTGTGCCGTTCTCTCGGGAAGAGTCCCCAGGGAGCTCTGGCCCCTGTGACCCCGCGCTGCTCTGCAGCTGTTCGAGCGGACGTGCCGGCAGTACGACAAGCTGCGCAAGCGGGAGGCCTTCCTGGAGCAGTTCCGCAAGGAGGACATCTTCAAGGACAACTTCGACGAGCTGGACAACTCCCGGGAGATCGTCCAGCAGCTCATCGACGAGTACCACGCGGCCACGCGCCCCGACTACATCTCCTGGGGCACGCAGGAGCAGTGAGTGCCCTGCCAGGGGACGGGAGGGTCCCACGGCCAACCCCCACACGCGCTGGCAGGGCTCGTCTCTGCCGTGCCCACGTTTATCACCCCTCAGCGCTGCCCGGCGCGGCGGGGCCCTCGCGCCGGCCGCACACACGCTGCGCTCCTCCGCGGACGTTGCTCTGTGGGGAGCGGCACTGCCCCTGCAGCCCCTCGGCGGGGGGACAGCCCTCGCCCTACCACGTGCCCTGGCCCAGGACAGGACTGGGGCAGCTGCGCGCTGTGCTGGGAGGGAACCTCCACCCGTGGGAGCAACGCTCGCTGGGAGGAGGAGGAGAGCGACCCCGGGGCTGGGAACAGGCCTGGCCCCCAGAGTTGGGTGCACACGACCCCCATGGCCAAAGGCTCCGTGTGGCTGAGCTAGTCCTTGCCCTGGGCAGGAGCCTTGTTCCTCCTTTGCCAGATCAGGCCTGGGGCACGGGCTGTATCTATATTTTTGTAGGTTATTTTGCTTTAATAAAGGCTGTTCCTGCACTAATGTTGCTTGCACAGCTCCTGAGCGAGCAGCCGGGCAGGGAAGCAGCTGCAGACACTGAGACCAGCGCTCGCCTTGCCTGGCCAGATGGCCCTGCTGTGCAGCCACAGCCTGTGGGGGCCCAGCTTGGCAGGAGCACCACGGCCACTGCTCATGGGCACATCCTGGGTGCACGGGGCCAGCCCTGCCCCAGCCAGCAGTACTGTGGAGCCCGGGCGGCACTGGGCGACCGCTGCTGCAGCAGAGCCAGAAATACTGGCAGGACCTGCCAGCACGGCTGACCAGGGCTGGGACCGGCGCCGCCCTGCCTGCAGAGCACGTGGTGCCCGCACGGATGTTCCACAAGGGCGAGGCCCCATGTAGGAGGAGATCATGAGGGGCTGGGGGTGCCCTCAGCACTCAGAACTGAGGCAGGGCTGGCACTCTTGGGAAGGGCATGGGCTTGGGGCCGAATGGTGTTGGGGGACACAGACATGGCAGCTCTGGTCCTGCCCTGTAGGAGTTTGGCTGTGGGCTGGGGACATGGGGCAGTGATGGCGCCGGCCCAAGCCCAGGCAGCCCAAGGTGAGAATTAGCATTTTCCTCTTACCCTGTGGGGGCACAGAGCAGGAGGCTAAAAATACAGCCACCATGGCAGCACGGGCTCCCACGCCTTCTTTGGCAGCAGCCTCACAGCAGTGCCCGCGGCTGGGGCAGTTCCCCCCGCCCGGGGCAGCCAGTGCCAGGGGCTGCCGGGGAGCTGGAGCTGCCTGTGCTCTTGGTGAAGTGCCAAAGGGCACCCGGCGCTGACCGGAGGGACGGCAGTCCCTGCCCCCAAGGACACGCTGTGCTGCTACTCCCGGCGCCTGTCCCAGGCCCCGCTGCCCTTGCTGCCCCAGGGATCTGACTGTCCCGGCCTCCCACTGTCCCTCCCACTGTCGACCCAAGCTCTGGGACAGGAGGCCCAGCCTTTCCTTTGTGCATTTATTTAGAAAAACAAACAACCAACCCCTCCTCCCCAGGACAGAACTGACAAAACTCTACAGAGGCAACACTGAGGGGCTGAGCCCCAGCCGTACCAGCTGCCACCCCACTGGCCACCCCCGCGACACGAGCTCAGCCACAGGGCCACCGCAGAGCCACAGGGCCTGGCCACTCGGCCAGGAGGAGCCTGCAGGTCCCCAGGGTGGCTCGGCCAAAAGCCGCCCGCAGCTTTCCAGGAGGGGTGGGTCCAGCGGACGGACAGACAGACAGACAGACAATGGCACAGCACTGCTGCCTGACCCCCTCTGCCCCAGGCAAAGCCCCCGGGGCACCGGCAGAGCAGTCAGACAGCACAAGTGCTGGAGGCGAAGGCACCAGGGTACAGGGGACGGGAACAGGCCTGAGGGCAGTGCGGGGAACCACAGTGGGGCATCCCCGCTGCCCGCCAGGGAAAGTGCTGGGAGATGTGGGGCGCACAGGCGTCTCAAAATAAATTAAGGAAATAACCAGAAAGGCAATGGCAGTGGGGGGGAGAAGGAGCCCCTGATCCCCTGCTCCACAGAACAGCTGGGGGCCAGCACAGACCTGCCACTTGCTGCTGGGCTGGCCGCCCTCCCGCACCGGTCATCAGAGCACCTGTGTGGCCGTGCCGGCCGCCGGGCTAGCTGTGGGAGGAACCCACCGGTGGCTGGTGCTGCCAGGGCCCAGCTGCAGGGCAGAGCCCCTGGGGCAACACAGTGGACTCCGAGGTGGGGGCGCTGGTGGGGGATTCCTGGGGCCGAGGCAGCCGCTGGGCACCCGCAGAGGCGAGGTACGTGTTGAGGAGCTGGGCGATCTCGTCCACCTGCAGGCAGAGGGGTCGTAGTGAGTCGCCCTGAGGCACCCCTGTCAGGAGGGAAGGGTGGAGGGATGGCTGCCCCTTACCTGGGAGGTCTCAAAAAGCAGGTCTCGGTCCTCCACAGAGAGGCGAAAGGTGCTGCTGTCGGAGGCGCCGAAGGAGGAGATGCGGCCGTAGCAGAAGCTGTCCAAGGGCTCGGGCTCCCCCGGCTTGTAGAGCGAGACAGCCTTGGCCCCAATGCCCAGCCACAGGCGCTGGGGCCCAGCCCCCACCGGGCTCTGCGAGGAGAGGGGTGTCAGGGCCACCCACTGCCAGGGCTGCCCCCACGCCCTGCCCAGTCGGGGCCTCACCACGTGCAGGTCGACGTCGAAGAGCGTGGAGCCAAAGCCAGGCCACTCCCGCACCAGGGCCACGTAGGCAGCCATGGCCTCGGGCCGGCCCATGCCCTGCAGCAGCTTCCACTTCTCCACGATGGCGGCCATGGTGCTGGCCCCCTCCTCGCGCAGGCGGCCCCGCAGGCGCTGGTCCCGCTCGGCCCGCTGCTTGGCCAGCGCCTGGCCCCAGAGCCCGCCGGCCAGCAGCCCCGCACGCAGCCGGGCCCCCCGGCACTTGGCAGGGGGCCGGTGGGGTGGGGGCGGCAGGCGGGCGTGCAGCACGTGGGGCGGGAAGAGCTCCTCCAGGCGCGGGAAGGGCGCGTGGGTGGAGAAGTCGCTGTTGAGGCTCTGCAGGCGCAGGGCTGCCAGCGTCTGCAGCGTCTCCTCCGACGTGGGCACGTAGCCCCGCAGCACCATCTCGTGTGCCTGCAAGAGCAAGGGGTGAGCCGGCACGGCACAGCCACCACGGCACGGCCTCCCCAACCCCAGGGCGGCACTCACCTGCTCGAAGAGGAGGGCGAACTCCAGGCTGTCCCGTGGGACATTGTCCGTGTCCAGGAAGCCGTAGTGTTTGAAGCAGAGCCGGCATGGTGGGTCCTGCTCACGCTGCTCCCCGGCCAGGCTGCAGCAGACATGACCAGCTCCATCAGCTCGTGGAGGCACCCCACACCGTCCCCTCCTGCCTGTGGCTCCCCAACCCCTTTCCTCATAGGCAGCAGAGTGGGACATTTACTTTTCAAACCTGGTGAGGACATCAGCCAGCAGTGTGGCACTGCCCACCGGCTGCTCCCGCCGCCGGGACTGCTCGTAGAGCGCGAAGAGGTTGGGGCTCTGGGACAGCCCCAGGCGCGACACCAGCTCCTGGGCCACCTGGGCGAGACAAAGGCAACCGACGGTGACCACGTGTCCCTGGACACGGCGCTCAGGGCTGCAAAAGGACACAGACAGGTCATGGTGGGCAAAGGCAGGAGGCCCCTGGTCCCTCTCCATCACGGCTCAGGTGGGAGAGACCTGCAGGAGCTCCTTGCTTCCCATGACACGCTGCCCCACCCAGCCCCGCATGCCAAAACACCCCCAGCCCACTGCCCGGCACGGCTGCGACCCCTCACCTCCTGGGCTGTGGTGTGGGAGCTGATGGCCACGCTGCAGGCAGGCGCCCCAGGGCAGTGAACGGTGCAGATCATCTCCTGCCGCTGCATCAGCATCAGGATCTCCTCCAGGGAGGGCACACACTCCCGCCCCTTTGTCTTTCCCAGTGCCTCCCGGATGAAGCAGGCATACTTGGCCATCTCTGAGGCAGGGAAACGGCTCTCAGTCCTGCAAGAAACGCCAGGAGGGTCACGATGGCACGGACCCGAGGTGGTATGGCAACCTGATGAGCCCTCTGCCTGCAGCTGGCATCCCTGGCACTCACTTGTCCAGGTGGAAGCGCAGGAAGCGCAGGACAGGCGGGGAGGGCAGGAAGGTGCAGCTCATGCAGGTGAGGAGTTGCCAGTAGTGCAGGTCGCCCTGCCCGCCCGGCGCCGGCGGCTCCGTGGTCTGCTTCACCAGCTGGCAGTAGATCTCATCCACCAGCGGGGGCAGGTCCAGGCAGGTCTGCAGGACGCCCTGCATCAGCGGCACCGGGTCCCGCTCCGACTCCAGCTGCTGCAGCGAGTTGAAGAGCTTCACAGCCTCATCACGCAGCGTGGTGTAGCTGCGGGGGCCGGGGGCTGCAGGACAGGATGGAGGTTAACAGCTGCCAGCAGCTGGGCACTGTCCTCACACCTGGGGCCAGCCAGGACCCAGCCCAGCGCCCACCCGCCCTGCACAGCGCCCAGCCAGGGCATCGCTGCCACCAGCCCAGGGTGCTGGATCTGGCTTCGTGCACCCCACCCGTCCCTCACCACTTTGGTCCAGGCTGCCGTAAGGGAAGGGCAGCAGGGGAGCATAGAGAGGGCCGCTGGTGTAGCGCAGGATGGGGTTGCAGCGGTAGATCTGCTCCAGCACCTCGGGGCTGCTGCTGTGCTCCTGGGGGACAAAGCGATGGCAGCAGCTGCAGAGGGGTCGCCCGGCTGAGTGCCTGGCACAGCCACCTCCCCGGGGCACACGAGGCCCTGAACACCCATCCTCGTGCTGCCGGCGGCTGCAGGCGTGGGGCAGTGCCACGGGCTCACCTCCACGTCACGCATGAGCAGCTGGGTGGGCGTCTGCACGGGCGCTTTGCTGTCAATGACCTTCTGCACGGCACACACCCAGCGCACGGCCTCGTTCAGGTGCTCCGTGTACAGGCGGTAGCAGTGCTTCCTGCCAAACACCGTCACGCTCCAGTAGCCTGCGAGGGACAAACCACTCACCCGCTGCCCACCAGCGGCAATAAGGACCCCCCAGGCCAGGCTCAGCACCACGGCGCTCAGCATAGCCCCTCCTCTGGGCAACAGAGGCCCCCAGGACTGGGGAGGGTGACACAGGGCACAAAGGGCCATGAAGATGCGGCCAAGGGGCATGGGCACCTCACCTGTCTCCTTGTAGAGCTGCTTGTCTGGCCAGAGCACAGAGCAGAGGTTGGTGAGCACGAGGGAGCCCAGCCGCCGGGCCCCCTTCTCGTTGCTGCTGTAGTAGTCTAGGGAGTCAGGTGTCAGCACGAACCAGTACTTCCGAGGACGAATCCAGGGAGTCTTCATGCAGCCCCGCATCTCCCGCTGCAGCCAGCCTGGGAAGAGAACCCTCAGTCCCCACCGCCAGCACCATCTGCCCCACCAGCTTTTCCGTGCAGGGCAGGGTCTGCTTGGCACCCGCCCAGCCAGTACCTCTGTCCCTGTGGGATGGGACCAGCCACAGCTGGGGCAGAACCCCACCTTTCACAAGAGCATCAGGGTCATCCTCCACTGGCCCTGGGCCCTTCTCCACGATGAGGCTGCGCATCTCCTCCGCGACAAGCAGGGACCTGGGGACAACACAGGGCTGAGCTCGGGGTGCCTGCGTGTGTCTTCCACAGTCCCTGAACAGGAGCTAGCCCAGGAGCTGGGGTCAGCTGGGTCCTGAGGGGCTCTGGGCACCCCAGCCCTGCGGTGGGAACACGGCAGAGTCATTGGGTGCAGATGACCCTGGCTAAAAATAAGCTGTTTGCAGTCGTGGCCCTGCCAAGGAATTCGGAAAATGAACAACCAGGAAGGAATGTTGGCAGTAGCGTCAGTACTGGGAGGACAGGGAGCTAGCAGGCCCCTGTGCCCCAGCCCCCCATCTTCCCCAGCACAGACCGCTGCAGGGCACAGCCTCTGCCGATGGACATGGTCCAGAAGAGCCTCCTGGCACAGGAAGAGTCACGCACAGCCCCACTGGCTAAGCTTGCGGCAGTCAAGCTATCTGCCATGGCAGAGGAATGGAGACACGCCTGAGGATGCGCCAGGGATGGGGACAAGCACGGCTGTCCTGGCTCTGCCATCCCTGCTCTAGCTGACAGAGCGACACAGCCTGGTGCTCAGCGCACACCAGCACCAGGGCAACCTCCCACAGCATGCCAGTCCCCCAGCTCCTGCGAAGGAGGATGTGACGGGATGCCCAGCAGGCTGGACGCAGGGGGTTACTCACCGCTCCGAGCCACTGCTGCTACGGGTGGGCTGGCTCAGGTTCACCTCCAGGGATCCCTGGGGAGGAAGGAGATGTCTCAGCCCCACGGTCATCGACTGGTGCCCCCAGCCATCCCCCCACTGACTGTGTGCCTCCTTGCCAGCCCAGCTCCAGGCCCAGAGGGACAGGCTCGCATCCCGCTGCCGTGGGGCAGGGAGCTTCAGTGCCCCCACGGCCGCGGCAGGGCCCAGCGCTGCAGCTGGAGCACCCGGGGGATGCGGGGGCAGCCGGCGGGCGCGCTGGCCGCGTGTCCTCAGCTGACCCGGCCGGCTGAATACCGTGCAGAATTGCACAAGGTCAGTGCTGAGTAATACGCTTACGGCACAAAGTCCCATTGTAATGGGGCCGCTGACTTCCTGCCCGCGGCGGTGGGACGCGGCTCTGGGAAGTCCCTGGCCCTGCAGCGGGACAGGGTCGGTTCCTCCTCGCACGGCACGGCTTGACATGGACGGTGCCGCTCACGTGATGAGCCTGGCACACGTGCTGGGACACGAGGCAGAGCCCAGGCACTGTCAGGCACCGAGCTGAGCAGGGCACCCTGGCAGAGCGGGGTGCGGGGACACAGCAGTACCAGCGATGCTATCCCAGGAGATGAACAGGAGTTCCTGCCAGCTGCAGCCCAATAGGGCAGCCAGAGGCATGACAGGCCAGAGCACGCCACACAACGCCAAGAAAAAGAGACAGATACTAAAAATAGCGACAGGGAGGGGGGAGCTGCCGCAGGTATGGCTGCACCACGGGGCAGGGCCAGGCACCACTGACCCGTGGCATTAAGGGCACCTGTCACATAGTGCTGGTGCCTGTGCACTGGGGCCAGCACCTCAAGCCAGTGTCCCGCTGCCGAGACTGGGGAGGGCCCCACACGCTCCTCAGGGCTGTGGGCACGGAGACAGTGCCCAATTTCTCGCGGGCAGTCCACAGGAGGTGGTGGTGGCTGTCGGCTCCTTCTCAGGGATATAAATAAACGGGAGAGGAGTCGTGGCAGCTCCCACGCTCCCAGGAAGGGGCAGCCAGCGCTGTGGGTTTCCAAGGACCCCCTGGACACGGCAAAGGGCTCCCCGGGGAGCTGGCGTCACCAGCCGCCCACGCCAGCCCGGCTCTCCGGAGCCAGTGTGGCCCATGGGATGCTGGAAGCCCAAGGACAGCTCCTGCCACAGTCGTGCACTTGGCACTGCCACCAGATCCCAGAGGGCCCCGCTCCAGCCCTGCCACTGTCCCCACTGCCCACCATCCCAGGGGCCTGGCACTGCTAGGGAAGGGGACTTTCTGCCAGGGCCGTGCTGCAGCCCCTGCAAAGACAGCGGAGAGGAGCCGCAGCAAGCGGGACAGGGCTGTCACCACCCACTGTGTCCCTCCCGGGCTGGGACTCGGCCCCGCGGCCCTGAGTGCCGGAGACCGCGCCGGGACGGGCAGGAGGCCCCCCGGGAGCCGGGGTTTCCCCCGCGCCCCGCGCTATCAGCCGTCCCACACACAGCCAGGCCGAAGGAAGCGCCGGTTTCCGCCGCTCCGCTTCCTCCGGAGAGGAAGCAGCCGGAGCAGGGAGATCCAGGCCCGCTCCCCGCGCCCGGCACGTGCTCCTGGGACAGCCCCGGCCCCGCTCCGGCGGGGCCAGCGACACCGGGCCGGTGCGGGTCTGGCACGGCAGCCCCGCAGCTCCCGCCCCGAGGAGCGAGCAGCGCGGGCCGGAGCGGGCCGGAGCAGGCAGGAGCAGGCAGCGCCCGGCTCAGGCTGCACCCCAGCAGCTGGTGGGCGCCGGGTCCCGCCGCCGAGGCACCGGCCCCACGCCGGGACCCAGCCGGCAGCGAGCCCCGCAAGCTCCGACCCTGCCCCGTGGGCCCCGGACCTCCCGCGCCCGCACGGAGGCTGCTCCCGCACCCGCCGGGACGACTTCCCCCCCACGCCCCGCGGGACCCCTCGGGCGGGGACGGGGACGGGGACGCGCCAAGGGCACCCCGGGAGGCGGGACCGGCGGGGACAGGACCGGGCGGCGGGGACCGGGCCGGGTCCGGAGGGTCGCGCGCCACCGGTCCCGCCGCGGCGCCGCTGCTCCTCCCGATGGCCGTCCCGAAACCGGTGCCGGCCCCACCTGGTCTCCCTGGGTGCGGAGCTCGAAGGACGCCTCCTCCTCCTCTTCGGCCTCGCCGTCAGCCTCCCGCTCCGCCTCGCCGTAGTCCCGCCGCAGCAGAGTGAAGCCCCGCCGGCAGCACAGCAGCCACCACAGCCCGCCCGGGAACGGCATCGCCCCGCCGGCACCGACGGGACGGCACCGGCACCGGGACGCGACGGGACCAGCCCGCCGCCCGCCCGTCCCGCGCACCGCCCGCCGCCGCCGCCGCCGGGACCGGCCCCGCCGCCGCCCCGGGCGGGCCGGGCCGCGCGTCACCGGCCGCCGCCAATCGCTGCGCGGGGCCCGGGGCGGAGCCAGCGCCCGGGGCGGCGGGGCCGCCGCTGCGTCAGCGACCGGGCGGGGGGAGCGCGGGGCCGGGCTGCGGCGGGGCCGGGGCTGCCGGAGCCACCGCCGGCGGGGCGCACCGGGCACCTCCCCGCACCTGGTGGGGCACCGGCACCGGGCACCGCCCCCACCCGGTGTGGGCACCGGCACCGGGCACGGGCCCCTGCCCTGCCCCGCGGCACCGGCACCATGTGCTGCCCTGGCTCCTGCGTGCGGCAGCACTCGCTCCTGGACACGGGATGGCGGCTCAGCCCGGTGCTGTGCCAAGTGTGCGCCAGCGGGCAGCACCGGGGCTCCGTGCTCGCACCGTGGGCAGGAGGGCACCGTGCCCGGCCAGGCCTGACCTGCCGGCCCTCGTGGCGAATTTCCACAGAGGAGCTGGCAGAAGGGCCTCGTGGCGGACTCACACCCGGTGCCTCAGCGACGCGGCTCAGCTCAGCCCTGGACCCCTCGAGCCTGGGGTGCCTTGGCAGTGCCCGGGCCCTGGCCCTGCTCGCTGGGCCCCAGAAGGGGTTAAGGCTCTGTTTTTGCTACAGCTGTTGGGTCAGCGCCGTCCCTGGGAACCCGGGTGCTGGGATGCGCAGGCAGGAAGCGTCTGCTGCCAGTTCACCTCCCACGCAGCCTGCGCTGGGCTGTGCCGGGGGCTGAGCCCCGCTGTGGGGCCGGCCACGCAGCCAGGACAGCAGTGGGCACTGAGCAGAGCCTGCCAGCCGTGGGGACAGCAGAGAACGGGAGCGGGACCACCCGAGGCCACAGGCTGGGAGGGCAGCAGGGGCAACTGTGCTGCCTGGCCAATCAATTACTGCCTGATCCGGCCCTTGCTCCCCACCGAGGGCTGAGGGGAACACCATCACCACGGCTCTGCATCTGCTGAGCCAGCAGTAACCGCGTTTCTGGCCCAGCAGTAGGTGAAGGTTCTGTGATGGCTTCTTCCAGTCGAGCGCTGGGTAAATCCCAAGCAGAGCAGGGGATGAGCGTGAAGCATCATCCAGCCCCAGGAAGTCGCCAGGCCGGGATGTGCTGTGGCACAGGAGCTCATGGGGGCAGCGAGGAGGGGAGAGGAACGTCTCTCTGCCCCCGCCCCAGGAGGGGATTTCCAGTCGGACCCAGGGCGGGTTTTTACGGGAGGTTTCTCCTCCTCCGGCCCTGGGGACGGGCAGAGGGTGAACAGGGAACGGGGAGCGAGCAGGCAGAAGGGCAGGCAGCGGGCGGGCAGGAAGCGCGAGGTTCTGCTGCCTCCTGCAGGCATCGCCCGCCTGCGACGGTGGCCACAGGGCCGCCACCCGGCCCCGAGCTCCTGTCCCGCAAAAGCCCACTGGGCAGCCCCGGCCCGGACAGAGATGATGCTCGCCCAAGGGGACTCGACCGAGGTTTATTGTGAGAGTGGGAACCAGCTGCCTGCCTGACCCTGCTGTTGCACTCACCGACCCAGCTCACCAGCACCGCACGGACCCCCAGAGCACGCGTGACATTGCATGGCCCCCCTCCCACCCCGGATCACGCGTGATATTAGATGGTCCCCCCAGAACACGCGTGACATTGCAGGCTTCCCCCGGAGCACGTGTGACATTGTGGGGACTCCCGCCCCGGCAGGTTGCCGAGCACTGAAGGCACTCTCAGGACACGCAGGTGCTGTGGAGCTGCTCTTCCCTCTGTCCACGAGTGTGTGGTCACCGTGCGGATTGTCCAGCACTGCCCGTGCCGGGCTGCTCGCCAGGGCAGGCCCATGTATGGACAAGGCTCTCCCCGGGGAGCCGTGGAGGGGCCGAGCCCCGGGGCGCTGGTCCCTGCCGTGGCTGAGGGCACGGTGCCCCTACACCACGTCCACGCACGTGGAGAGCGATGTCCGCCGGCGGGGACTGGGACAGCCGAGACAGCGCGGGTCGAGGGGCCCCACACAGCCGGCATCGCTGGCGAGCAGCCACAGCTCCCTACGGAAGCGCTGGCCCAGGAAGGCGTAGAGCAGCGGGTTGAGGCAGCAGCGCAGGTACGCCAGGCCGCCAGTGACCAGCAGCGCCAGGTCCTTGCGGCGGCTCTGGGCACAGCTCACCTCCCAGCTGGCCAGCAGCTCGGCCGCGTCCAGCAGCACCATCAGGCTGTGGGGCAGCTGCAGGGCCACGAACACCAGCACGAGGGCCAGCAGCACTCTCAGAGCCCGGTGGGGCTGGGCACCGCGGGCCGCCAGCAGTGTCCGCGCCACGGCCGCGTAGCAGCTCGCCATCACCAGGAAGGGCACCGCGAAGCCGAGCACCACCTGCACCAGGTTGGTGGCCCCCCGGGCCACCCGTGAGACCACGTGGGGGAAGACGACCCGGCAGAGCCGGAGGTCCTGGTGTTGCTCTGCCTGGCTGTAGATGAACTGGGGCAGTGCCAGCAGCGTAGCCAGCAGCCAGGCCAGCCCTGCTGTCAGCCAGCCGTGGCGGCGAGCCCGTGGGCGCAGGCGACAGGCGGCCGGCACCCGCACAATGGCCACGTAGCGGTCCACGCTGATGCAGGTGAGGAAGAGGAAGCCGCTGTAGAAGTTGAGGGCGTAGAGACCCTGCAGCGCCTTGCAGGCAGCCGTGCCTGGGGACCAGCCCTGCAGCGTGTCAGTGATGGCGAAGGGCAGCGTCAGGAGCAGCAGGAGGTCAGACAGGGCGAGGTGCAGGAGGCAGACGTCGGTGACGCTGTGTGCCCGGCGGTAGCGGGTGTGCGTGAGCAGCACCAGCCCATTCCCCACCGTGCCCAGCAGTGAGAGCAGCAGGTAGACGGCAGGCTGGAAGGTGCGGGCAAAGCCCTGCACTGCCTGCTTCTCACAGAGCTCAGGCAGCATGCCGGCCTCCCCCGAGTAGTCGTCCTCCCAGGAGTAGAACTCAGTGGTGGCCATCAGCTCCGTCGAGAGGGGGCTGGGGGTTGCCTGCACAGAAGGAGGCTGAATGAGGAGGGTTCAGTGGTGGCAGCCTGGCCACAGGGTGCAGCACCACGCCCGGGGCAGCCCTTCTCCACCCAGCCCCACCGTGGGGAGCCCGGGCGTGCCGCAGCCCCCATTCTCCAGCCCCACGTGCAGTGTGGTTTCTGCCTCTCACACCCACCCCGCCACAGCGGGAGGTTCACCATGCTCAGTCATTGCAGGAACAACTGCACACTTCCCGAGCAGCCGCCTGCGATGCAGAGCTGCTGGAGGGACGTGACCCCGGCTGCGGCGTCCCCAGCACAGCACCACGTCCCACAGACTAACTCTGCAGCTGCCTGGGGAGCTGCTCCAGCATCCCCTGGGGATCAGCACCCAGCCTACAGCCCTGGCTGCCCTGGGCAGTCGGGTCTCAGGCCTCCACACCAGCATCCCTGGATGCCCAAACCACCCACGCACCACCCTGGGGATCCCAGTGCAGACATAGCCCCACACTCCCTGGCCCTGGCCCCAGACAGGGAGGTCCCAGGGCATCCCACTGCCTCGCACAGCTTGCAGGCAGCTGTGCACAGTGCTCCCAGCTGCTCAGCCCTGCTCTGGGGCAGCGGGAGAGCACCGCAGCCTGGCACTGAAGAGCCGGGACCCCACTGCCATGGGGGTCAGGATCCAACACAGCTCTCATTCACACCAGCCTCCCAACAGCAATTTCACTCTGGCCCATGTCAGCAAGTCCAGGCAGTTGGGCCTGAGCCCCTCCACCCGCTCTGGGGACACAGGTGGGATCTGAACCCAGTGTCAGGGAGTGTTAACTCTCTAGCAGCTCTCCCAGCTCCTTCCCTGCTGTGGGCCCCAGGGACCTGGAACACCAGGTACTGCCTGGATTCCACAGGGATTTGCCTTTCAGCCCAAACGCCCAGGGCTCACAAGAAAACTATCTAAAAAACATAAGAAAAGCCAGTGAGGGGGTTCCTGCGTGGCCCCCAGCAAACCCCTCACCCCGCAGCCCCTCACCTGTTTCTGCATTGCGCAGCAGGACCTTCCCTGTGGCCGGTGGGTCTGGAGCTGTTGATGTCTCAGCGCTCTGTAACCTGTGGTTTGACCACGTGCCTCTCCCGATACCGAAAACAGTGCAGAGCACAGGCCCAGCCCCAGGGAGGAAGGCGAGGTGGCAGGTGTGACGCCCCTCCAGAACCTGTCCTGAATCTTTTATTTTGTGCATCTTTTACATCTGCATGCCGGGGACAGAAATAGCAACTCCACTCAGTCCCTGTCACGCAGGACTGTGGGCCAAGCCTGGGAGTACCCAGCCAGGGGAGCAGGGTCTGGCCAAGGGCACACAGCATGTGCAGGAGACCCCAGCCCACCATGGGGCTGTTGGTGGCTCCTCTGCAGGGCTGGAGAGGAAGCTGGAGGGAACAGGGCCAAGAAATGAAGTGTGTGTTGCTGTGGGCTGGCACTGAGCTGGGCATAGGAAGGATGCTGCTCCAGTGGGATCAGCAGAGCCGTGTCTGGTCCAGGATTATCTCATCCTGATGGGAAACATGGTGGTTCCAGGAGCTGGGGTGGCTGCTGGTGCAGGCTGTACCTCCCACCTAGGGGTACCAGCCTGGCCCTGCACTCCTGTGCTCTGCATCCCTGCACCCCCAGGCCCCTGTGCCCCTGCATCCCTATGGCTCTGGGCAGACATGTTGCTGGTTGTTGACAACAAAATTCACAGCTCCTCATTAAGAAGCAGATTAGTTTCTGTGGGGCAGAGGTCCCACTTTCCTCTGCCCAGGGGGTAGCAAATTGATCCCCAGCTTTAACAGGCTCCCGGCCGTTTGCAACAGTAATCCCTCAATCCCCCTTTCTCCCCCGCTACAGCAGTCTTTGCTGCGGCTTATCCCAGCTCTGCCCTCGGCCCTCCTGCTGCCTCCAGACGGGTGTGGGGTCCCAGGCACCAGCTGGGGGGCTGTGAAGCTGCTGTGCCCTGGCTGGGGAGTGGCTGGGCAGAGGCCTCCACTCCCTGGGGGTTCCCCAGAGCTCTTTGCTGGAGGGTCTCTTCCCTCCCCTGCTCTTTCTGCAGTGCAGGCATGTTGGCTGCAGACCTCTGCCCGTGCTGGCTCAGGGGGTGCCATCCTACACCCTGCATCCTGGGGGAAGGGGAGGGAGGGGAGTCCCAGGGCCAAAGCTGGCCCTACAGCCAGCTGTGGGTGCACATCAGGGACTTTGCGTGCCCCACTGGGGCTGTCACAGACCTGACCCAGCACAAGGGGCTGTGGCCGGAGCAGGGGTGTCAGGATAAGGCCAGGTGGGCTGTGCCTTTGCTGGGGATGGACCCGAAAGCACTGCTGGGGTCTGGGGGACAGGAGAGCAGGTGCCAATGACCCCGGCACACGGTTCCAGCTCCCGGTAGCAGAACTCTCAGTGCACCACCGGCTGTCCCACATTCCTGCCACATCTGGGGCTTTCTGTTCCCTCTTTCACTTCCCAGCGCTGGTCTCGGCTCTGCCTGGGCAGGAAGGAGCCCCAGCACCGCGTACCTGCAGGTCGCGGCTGCGCTGCCCTGTGGAGGGCCAGTGGTGTGGAGCTGCCCCGCCAAGCTCCTTCCCAGCGCCCAGAGCCAGTCTGGACCCAGCGGCTGCCGGGGCATCCCCGTCCTTGGGAGCTGCTCAGAGCTCCTGGGAGTGTGGGTCTCCTGCTCCTGAGGGGCCAGGGGACACGGGGCACTGCGGGTTTGTAGGTGTATGTAGGGCAGGCAGCCGCCAGCCCCCCCGGCCCCTCTGTCTGGGGGGGTTGTTTGGGAGCAGACACGGGTTAAATCCCTTCTTCTGCACCACTGGAGAGAGCGGCGACCCCGAGACCTGAAGGCCTTAATCTGTGGCTTGATTACAAACCGCCGCCACATCTGCTGCGGCGGGGGGGGGGGCTGCGGGCACCAATCCGACCCCCCTTTCCGGACCAGGCGCTGCAGAGGAACCGCCCGGGGATTCCCGGAGAGTTCCTGCACGGCTTGGCTGTGTCCGTACACCCCCCCCCCGCGAGCCCACCGAGGCCGTGTCCCGGTGCAGCCCGAGGAACGGGGGAATCCGGCGACCGGCTGGAGCATCGCCCGGGGGTGCGGCGAGGGGGGCCGAGGCTCTGCGCTGCGCCAAGCCCGGCCCCCGCGCCCCCGGCCCGGTCCCGGCCCCCTCCCCGCCCCGTGGGCGGAGCCGCGAGCCCCGCTCCGCCGTGCGGCTGCAGCACCGGGAGTGGCGGCGTCGAGGGCGCTCGGGGCGCTCAGCATGGGCGCCCGCCGCCTCCTCGGGCTCCTGTTCGCCGCCTGCGTCGGCTTCCTGCGCCCCGGCCCCGGCTGCCTCGCACGTAAGTGGAGCCGCAGTCCCGGGAGCGGCCGCTCCGCACTGCGGGACCGCACCCGCCACTCCGGCCCCGCACCCCTGAGCCGCCCCCGCAGTCCCGCTCTCACAGGCATCCCCCGTTCTCCCCCGGGCATCCCTCGGTTTCCTCTACTGCCCCGGTCCGCATCGTCCTCAAGGTCACCGCCGGACACGGGCGTCCGGGCTCTCCCCCTCCCCGCCCCACCTGGGGCGGCCCCCGGCAGCCCCCCCACCGCCGGCGGAACCGCGCCCGCCCGCAGCCTCCGGGGACCGGAGGAACCGGGATGCCCCAGGAATCCGGGATGCCAGGGGATGCCGAGGAGAGCGGGGCCGCCCCGCGGCACCGGCCGGGCTCCGCCAGCACCTCGGCCAGCGCCGCCGCCCGCCGGGCCGACCCCGCCGCGGGGCTGCACCGGGCCGGGCCCGGTACCGGGGCTTGGGGCATCTGCTCGGGCACGGGGACCGGCGAGGTCCTGGCTGCACTGGACGGTTCTCTGCGGCCTCCTGAGCCGGGGCCCTTGGCCCCTTTCCCCAGGGTCGGGGCGAAGAGGGATGGAAGTGGGGGGCAGTGGGATGGAGAGGGGTGGACCGGGGGGTGATGGAGCACGGGCCTTGCAGTGAGAGCTGCGGGTGCTCGTGGACTCCCCGGACTTCGTCCGACACGGCCGGGGGGACCCTGTGAGGGGTTCGAGACTCCGACCCCGTCAGAGCGTCTTTTGCCGGCGCCGCGAGGGTTTACACGGGACCCCCTGGGCTCCCACGGGGAACCGTGACCCGGCGGGGCGGGGCGGGGCGGGGTGGGGGTCCCGTCGCCCACGTCAGTGCAGAGGCGTCTGGTGCGGGCGCCGGGGCCCGCAGAGGTGTGTCAGCTCCGCTGCAGTGGGAGGGGAGAGCGGAGCGGGCCCGTCGCGCCACTGGCCAGAGGGGCCGTGGGGTCCCCAGAGCCCACGGAGTCTGCAGCGGTCCCCGGAGCCCTCAGGGTCTGCAGGGCCGGGTCGGGAGAGTTTCCACAGGGACACTGCCCAGTTCAGTGCCCCGAGCACGCCCCAGCCCCACTCTCCCCACAGGACCATGCTACGATGAGCTCGTCGCTCCCCTTTACTCCTACTCCATCGGTGCCTCCTCCAGATACAACATCTTCTACTCGCCCAGCTTCGCCCGGCTGCACAGTGAGTCCCCCTGCGGGATCGGGACGCAGGTTGGGCGGGGCACGTGGGCCGGGGGTGTCCTCGGCAAGGGCTGAGGAGTCCAGTCGGGTGCTGCGGTGGGGCTGAGCAAGCAGCCCCCGCTCAGCTGGGAGCCACTGGGTGCAGGGCTCTGGGGTCAGCTGAGCAGCTCCCCCACAGGCACCAGCGGCTGGTCCCCTGATCCCCGGGACAAGCAGCCCTGGCTCCAGATCGACCTGATGCAAAGGCACCGGATCAACGCGGTGGCCACGCAGGGAACCTTCAACACCTATGACTGGCTGACACGCTACATCGTGCTCTACGGAGACCACCCCACCAGCTGGAAACCCTTCTTCCAGCAGGGCAGCAACTGGGTAGGGGCAGTCCTTGGGTCCCTGCGGGAGGGGGGCCTCTGAGGGGGGCAGAGACCCCCGGCCTGGAGCAAGGTGTTTGACAGCGACCCTTGATCCCCAGACGTTCTTTGGGAATGTGAACGAGAGTGGGGTGGTGCGGCACGACCTGCACTACCCCATCCTTGCACGCTACATCCGCATCATCCCAGTGGCGTGGAATCCACGTGGGAAGATCGGGCTGCGCCTGGGCCTCTATGGCTGCCCCTACCGTGAGTACCTGACCAGGGGCTCCAACAGCCCTGTGCAGCAGGACCCTGGCTCTGGCACATGTGGAAAACCCTCTCAGAGGGGATTGTGCCCAAGTGGTCTGCAGCCATGGCATAGACCACAGCGAAAGGGAGCGTTCCCCGTGCCAGGGCACCTGCTGCTGCAGGCAGTGACATGGCTAGGGCTGCTCTGCTCTCCACAGGGTCCCACGTGCTCTACTTTGACGGGGATGACGCCATATCCTACCGTTTCCGGGTTAAGAGGGTCAGCACCTTTGAGGATGACATCTCCTTCAACTTCAAGACGCTGGAGCAGGACGGGGTGCTGATGCATGGGGAGGGCTCACAGGGTGACTACATCACGGTGGAGCTCAAACAGGCCCAGCTCCTCCTGCACATCAGCTTAGGTGAGCCAGGGCCAGGGGGCTGAGGACAGGGGGACCAGAGGGCTGCCAGCTGACGCTGCCCCTCCCCAGGCAGCAGCCCACTGCACGCCAGTGAGGGCCACACAACGGTGGCGGTGGGCAGCCTCCTGGATGACCAGCACTGGCACTCACTGCACATTAAGCGTCTCGGCCACTATGTCAACCTGACGTTGGATGGGGAGGTCAAGCGCTTCCGCTGCCGTGGCACCTTCGACCAGCTCGATCTCGAAACTGAGGTGGGTGCAGCAGGCAGGGGGCTGCCAGAGTGCTGGCTTGTGGTGTCCCCCCCACACCAGAGAGGGACTGACCCTCTCCCTCTGCCTCCCAGGTCTTCTTTGGGGGGTGATTGACCACGACAAGCAGCACCTCACTTACCGGCAAAACTTCCGGGGCTGTGTGGAGAACATCATCTTCAACGGGGTCAACATCGCTGACCTGGCCCGGCACCGGAGACCCAACATCCGCTTCGAGGTCCAGGCCGGGGGGTGCCCCTTCTCTGAGGGTCCTGTCCATGCTGTGGGAGGACCCTGAAAGTCCTTAGCCCTGCTGGGGGGTGACCCCTTGCCTGGGGCCCGGCTCCCTGCCCGCTGTGGGGTGACACGGGGCTGGGCAGCAGCCGTGCTCAGCCGAGCGGCACTGCATTGACCACACAAGGTTATCCCTGGCCTGGGGTGCCTGCCTGCCTCTACCAGGCATTGGGATCGATTGGGAACGATTGGGGCCAGGACTGTAGGGATGGGGCAGGGCGGGGGGGGCCTCCCTGCTATGGGAACATCGCCTTCCTCACCTCATCCCGTGGTTGTCCCCAGGGCAGCGTGGGCCACTACTGCCAGGACCAGGTGTACACCCCCATCACCTTTGCCGGCATCAACAACTACGTGCAGGTGCCGGGGATCCCACGGAGGAACCGCCTGGCCGTCAGCTTCCGCTTCCGCTCCTGGGACACCACTGGGCTCCTGCTCTACACCAACTTCTCTGATAACCTGGGCTCCCTCGAGATGGTGCTGAGCGAGGGGCAGGTCAATGTCTCCATTGCCCAGCCTGGCAAGAAGAAGCTGGAGTTTGCCGCAGGTGGGCTGGGGAGCCAGCGCAGGGAGTTGGGGCCATTGTGCCAGCGGAGCATCCCCACCCACCCTCCTGTCCCCACAGGGTATCGCCTGAATGATGGCTTCTGGCACTCAGTGCACCTGGTGGCACGGGAGGGCTCGGCTGTTGTGACCATCGATGATGAGGATGGCGCCGAGTTTCGGGTGGCACACCCATTCCAGCTCCGTACTGGCAGCCAATACTTCTTTGGAGGTGGGCAGTGGGGCAGAGGCCAGGCCGACATGTGCCTAGGGGCTGCTCACCCTGCTCTGTCTTGCAGGCTGCCCCAAGCCGGCCGCACTCACCGGCTGCAGGTCGAACCAGACAGCCTTCCATGGCTGCCTGCAGATGCTGAACGTGGACATGCAGCCTGTGGATGTGGAGCTGCTGGTGCAGCGCCGGGTGCTGCAGTACCACAATGTGTTCTTCAACGTCTGCGGCATCACGGACAGGTACCGACCGGGACAGGGGTGCTGCCTGGGAGTGAGGGGCACTGTGGGGCCGTGCTGGTGCTGGGACAGGAGCCCTCTGCACCCTCAGGTGCACCCCCAACCTGTGTGAGCATGACAGCCGCTGCATCCAGTCCTGGGATGACTTCATGTGCATCTGCGACCTGACGGGGTACAAAGGGGAGACCTGTCACAAATGTGAGCCTGGAGACTCGTGGGTCAGGGACAGCACGGGCACGTGTGGCCCCTCCCTCTGCCCAGTGCCCCCCTCACACTGACCCCCACCTCATTCTTCTCTTCCAGCCCTTTACAAAGAATCATGTGATGCTTACCGGGTCAGCGGGAAAACCTCGGGCAACTACACCATCGACCCGGACGGCAGCGGGCCACTCAAACCCTTCATGGTGTACTGTGACATCCGAGGTGGGGGCAGCAGGAGGCCAGGGGGTCCCTCTGTCTAGTGCCCCTGGGGACCAGCCCTGCCTGTGTATCAGGGCTGGAGCAGGATAGAGGGAGTGGGGGTGTCCTGGGGGTGCAGTCCTAAAAGCTCCCTGTAGGTGCAGAGGGCCGAGCGTGGACCATCATCCGTCACAACCGCCACTACGCCACGCGGGTGACGGGCTCCAGTGTGGACCAGCTCTACCTGGGGGCTGTGGAGTACTGGAACGCCTCCTGGGCTGAGGTCTCAGCACTGGCCAATGCCTCTGAGTACTGCGAGCAGCTCATCGAGTTCAACTGCTACAACTCCCGCCTGCTCAACACTCCCTGTGAGCGCTGGGGGGAGCGGGGTTGCGCCGTGGGGCTGTGCTGCAGGGCCGTGCTGTGGGACCGTGTGTTCACCCTCCCCTGTGCTCGCAGCTGGGCTGCCCTTCAGCTTCTGGATGGGCCGGAATGATGAGCGGCACTACTACTGGGGTGGCTCACGGCCGGGCATCCAGCGCTGTGCCTGCGGGCTGGACAAGAACTGTGCCGACCCCCAGTACTTCTGCAACTGCGACGCCGACCACGCGCTCTGGTGAGTGGTGGGGTCTGCAGGACAGAGGCTGCGGGGTGGGGGCTGCAGGCGTGGGGGGCACAGACTCCGGGGCCCTCAGATGGGGGTAATAGGGGTGCAGGTTGGCAAAGGGACAGAAGCCCCTCATGGCCACACACCATTTGCAGGAGGACAGACAAAGGTCTGCTGACCTTTGTGGACCACTTGCCTGTCACCCAGGTTGTGGTTGGAGACACCAACCGCACTGGCTCTGAAGCCCAGTTCCTGCTGGGGCCTCTGCGATGCTACGGAGACCGTGAGTGACCAGCCCCGTGGAAGGTCCCCTGCCTGCAGAGTGCCTACACCCACAGGGGTCCCACACCTGCGAGATCCCCCACACAGGGAGGGTCCTTGCTCATCCCTCACTGTCCCTCCTGCTCCCCACAGGCAACACCTGGAACACCGTCTCCTTCAACAGGGGTACAGCCCTGATCTTCCCCACCTTCCAGGCCAACCACAGCCTTGACATCTCCTTCTACTTCAAGACTACTGCCCTATCTGGAGTCTTCCTGGAGAACCCTGGCACCAGGAACTACATCCGCATTGAGCTCAACAGTACGGGGGGCAGGGGTTTCAGGGCTGTAGGGGTGGTGGGGCTGGGGAGCTTCTCCCAACACCACACCCTTGCAGCCACCAGGGACGTGGTGTTCATCTACGACATCGGGAACGGGGACGAGAACCTGACGGCGCGGTCCGTGGTGCCCTGGAACGACGACGAGTGGCACCAGGTGAAGGCCGAGCTCAACGTCAAGCTGGCGCGGCTGCGGGTGGACAAGCTGCCCTGGGTGGTGCGGCCGGCCCCACCGCAGAGCTTTGTCCGCCTGGAGTTCGACAGGCCCCTCTATGTCGGTGAGACCCCCCGGCCGCGGCCCCCGCGCCCCCAGGTCCCCCGCGTGCCGCAGGTTGCTGAGCCTCGGCCCCGCTGCAGGCGCGGCGGAGCACAAGATGCGCCCGTTCCTGGGGTGTCTGCGGGGGCTGCGGATGAACGGCGTGACGCTCAACCTGGAGGGCAAGGCCAACGAGACGGAGGGCGTGCGGGTCAACTGCACCGGCTACTGCCAGGACCCGCCGGTGCCCTGCCAGAACAGCGGGCTCTGCGTTGAGCGCTACAGCCACTACAGCTGCAACTGCAGCGTCTCCGCCTTCACCGGGCCCTTCTGCAACCACGGTGAGGGCTGCGCTCTGCAGGGTGAGAGGGGCCGAGGAGCCGACGCTCCCCTCACCCCGTGGGCTCCCTCCCGCAGACATCGGCGGATACTTCGAGGAGGGCACCTGGGTGCGGTACAACATCCTGCCCGTGTCTCTGTACGCCGCCCGCGAGTTCGCCAGCATCATCAGCAGCCCCTGGCAGCCCCTGCCCGGCTACAACCTCACCAGCGAGGAGGTCAGCTTCAGCTTCAGCACCACCTCCGCGCCCGCCGTGCTGCTCTACATCAGCACCTTCGTAAAGGACTACATGGCCGTGCTCATCAAGGACGATGGTGAGGGCTGGGCTCCCTGCCCTGGGGCTCACACAGAACCTAAGGGTGCCCTCCAGAGTTCTGGGACTGCACGGGACCCTCCTCTCTGTGGACGCTACTCCCCAGCCCTATAGACGAGCTGGATGCGTCCACTGAGAGCTCTGGCCCTGCTGATGGCCCCCACTGCCCGCAGGGAGCCTGCAGCTACGCTACCAGCTGGGCACCAGCCCCTATGTTTTCGCCCTCACCAACAAGCCAGTGACAGACGGGAGGCCCCACCGTGTCAACATCACCCGTTTGCACCGCACATTGTATACCCAGGTATGGGCCAGGGCACCCTCCCCACAGAGCCTGGGGCCTTTGGGGCTGCAGGTCAGGCTGAGAGGGGTATAGGTGGGGTGGCTTCATGGGTGCTGACATTGGGCACCTGCCTCCCAGGTGGACTATCTCCCCGTCATGGAGCAACAGTTCTCCGTGTTTGTGGACAGCAAGCTGGACTCGCCCAAAAACCTCTACCTGGGGCGTGTGATGGGTGAGTTGTGTCCTGCCCTCGGCCACCCCCTTCCCATGTTGGGGTCTCCAAGGTCTCCTCTGCCCGGCATGACCCTTGCTCTCCAAGAGGGATGAGCTATCTCCTTCTGTGCCCCCACAGAAACCGGTGTGATTGACCCTGAGATCCAGCGCTACAACACACCCGGCTTCTCAGGTTGCCTCTCAGGGGTGAAGTTCAACACCCTCGTGCCCCTCAAAGCCATCTTCCACCCCACCAGTCCCCTACGGCCCTACAGCATCCGGGGGGAGCTGGTGGAGTCAAGCTGTGCCTCAATGCTCCCCCTTACCACCATCCTCATCCCTCCTGAGATGGACCCCTGGTACATGGGCATAGGTAGGTGCTGTGGTGTGACCCTGGCTGGAACAGAGCCCCTGATAAGCACCAGCTGCAGAGGGGAAGCTCCAGCACAAGTCCTCACCGCAGCCCACTCTCAGCTACCCACTCTGTCTCTGCAGAGTTCCCCCACGTGCACGACGACGGCTGGATTGGGATCATCATTGGGTGTAAGTGAAGCCCCTGGCTGGTGTCCCCTGCTCTGCCCTGGCCCTGCACCTCCTTCCCAGACCCTCACTGCTGCCTCTCCCCCACAGTTGTGATCTTCCTGCTTCTGCTGCTGGGGGGGCTGCTGGCGCTGCTGTACTTCTACCACCACCGCTACAAGGGCTCCTACCACACCAACGAACCCAAGGCCATCCAGGACTACGGCAGCGCTACCAAACCCGCGCCGGCACCGGCACGCAAGGACCAGAACTTGCCCCAGATCCTGGAGGAGGCGAGAGGGGAATAGCAGGGGCTGGGGGTGGGACAGGCTCACAGCCCCCACATCCCCCAAGACCTGCCCGGGGATGAGCGAAGCGTCGCGGGACCAAAGGGCCGAGCACAACCGAACTGCCAACGTCCTCCTCGGGACGGACCGGACCGCACCAACCACCATCTCCTCCCCGCGGCCACCGCCGACCGGCCCCGGAGCACGGCTGTGACCTGCCGAGCCCCAGCCCCACTCGCCCCGGGCACGGGCGGCAGCCCCCTCGCTGGAGGCGGGCTGCTGCCCCCACAGCTGCCAAATCCCGCCTGGCCTCCCGTGGGGAGCCCCGGGCCCGGCCCCCACCCTCCTTCTGTCCGGGGGCGCCCGGCTGCTGCCCCCCCGTTAGCGCTGCCCGCGTAGATGACCCGCTGCTTTGCTCGCTTCGCCAGCGCCACGCAGAGCCACGAGCACCGGCCCCGGCACGGCCGGGGCGCCGAGCAATACCTTGCGCCGGCGCCGCGCATGCCGCCGCTGCACCTTGCTGAGATGCTGCTTTCGTTAAGATCAGGTACAGATCCTTTCTACCATTTTTTTTTGTTGCTGGATATTCTACTACACTCTGGTTTTTTTATTCTGTCGGTTTGTATAAAAAACCCAAACGGAAGCTCCCGCGGGCCCCACGGTTCCGCGTGTCATGGTGCGTGGTCTGTAGTTTGCCACTTCTCTGTATGAAGTACCAGTCCTTGCTGATTACCTCCAGCCCAGGGAAAGCTCCTGTTCACTCGCTGTGTTGTGGTAAGACGATGTTACAGAAACGCATTTATCTACCCGAAGGCCTGGCTCCACTGGGCACTTTATTTTTAAAAACCCTGTTCTGTTGAATGAGATGTGAGGATAATCGAATAAAGGCAGAATGATGGCGTTTGACACTCCCCAGCCTTCCCCCTGGCAGCCCAGGGAGATCTTCTCCGCCCACCCTAGCTTAGCCTGCACCAGGAGAGGGACCACACGGACAACTGCAATTCCTGCTCCTGGAATGGGATGCAGGCTGTACCTAGCCAGGGCTGGAGGCAGCTCAGCTGCTGCTGCTCCACACACATTGTGTCCTGCTTTCCCTGCCACACACCTCTGCCCCCTCCCCACCCTGAGACAGTGGGATTTGGGCAGCAAGCGGCTCCTGACCACTCACAATTCCCCCAGGGCTCTGAGGAGCCATGGCTGGGCTGAGCCCAGCAGGCAGAGGGACAGGCAGAGGACAGGCAGGGGCCAGGCTGCTGCCAGCTGCTCCCGAGGTAAGAGAGACCAGCAACCAGGGGAGGGTCTTTGCTACCACTTTATTATGACAAAGGCTACAAGCCACGTTATTTAAAGTGCATTATTATTACCATTATTCACCGTCAACAAACCACAGACAAAAGCCTGGCGTAGTGCAGCTATGGCCGAAGTGGCAGAAGACGCTGAGCCGAGAGCAGGGTTGAGGGGAGCCAGGCAGACGGAGGCGGCAGGGAGAGGGGCTCAGGCAGGTGCTGGGGTACAAGCACTGCTCCAGACAGACCCAAACACCTCCAGGCTCCAGGAGGGCATCATGGACAGTGGGAAGAACGGACAGACAGCCTGGCCTGCCCTGGCAGGGGACTGGGAAGGCGTGGTGAGGGCTGGGCCAGGGAGGGCTTGGCTCCCAGGCAGAGCCAGCACCTCTCTTGTGTTCATGTACCACACATCCTGGGAACCCAGCCCTGGACATTGGGCAGAGCATGGTCCAGCACCCAGCACCAGGCTGGGCAGGCAGCTGGCAGCACATGTGGCTCCAACCTTCAGGCCACCCCAGGCCCCATCAGGCTGCCCTGTCCCAAGCCTGGAGCGATGTCCCTGCAAAGGTGCTGACGGATGCAGGCCCCCTGGGATGCCTGCAGTCCCTCCACACCCTGCATGAAACACAGGGCCCAGCCACCAGCTGAGGATTAGTTTAAAGTGCTTTTTTCTTTCCTTTTTGCATTGGGTGCTAAGGCCAAACCTCACCCTGCCAGAGAATATTTCCCCTTTATCCCCAGGGCCAGGGGATCACAAAGCCCAAGGCAGGTTTCTGAGGAGCCTTCCCTGGGTCACCGTGGGCACTGACTTTAACATTGTCTCTACCCAGCTCAGTGGCATCCCTATTCAAAGTGACGTGTTGCATAGTGCTGCTCTCCCATCCCCAGGTATCCCTTGGTGCCACTCCAGCCATGGCTGGGCGGTCCCTGTGGCCCAGCCAGCTGGGGCAGAGGGGAAACCGCCTTGGGACAGCAGCTGGGGCACAGGCACTGCTCACACTCCTGCCCCGAGTCTCTCTGGGTGTCTGGATGGAAAGTAGCACTTGTGACACACACAGCAGTGGGAACAGCAGCAGTCATGTCAGCGTGAAGCAAACATGGCATTGCTTACAAGGTGCAGCAGCAAGGTGTGCCGGGACCACCCCCGGGCCTAGATGATGTCTGTCTCCCTCTCTATGCCAACGTACTTCAGAGCATCTGCCTGGCTGTACCTGCAAGACAGGAAGTCACAGCTGCAGAAATGACCTCCCACACTCCCCACAAACCTCTACAGAAGGCGGGGTCACCCCTGCAGCCCAGTCCCCTGCTGTCCAAGGTACCTGTAGTCAAAGAAGAGCTCCTCTCCTGCCTGGATGGCTCTCTTAGCGAAGATGCCAATCCGGTGGTCTCCATTCACCATTACAACTACAACCAGAGAGATGACATCAGAGACATCAGACACATGCAGCCCCAGCCTGGGCCAGAGCCCTCGCAGCGCTGTACCCTGCCTGGTCTGGCTGGGCAGGGGGATCTCACCTTTGGCATAGCAATTGGGGTTCACTGAGTGGTTAGCAAAGCGGATTTTATTTCCTTTGCGGGTGGCGTCAACAACAAAATCTATTTAAAAAGAAAAGAAAAAAAAAAAGAAGAAAACTGTGGTGTAAAGGTCAGACCTGTCACCAAGGTGAGAGCTGGGCTGAGCCTGCCTGTCTGGTCAGCAGCACTGGCCTCTCCACCCCTGGCAGCCCCAGGGAATTACCATTGTTGAGGTTGAAGAGGAAGCTGGACATGTACTTGTCATAGACCTTTCCTCGCCGGTCAGCCTCGTCCTGGGAAATGAGCTGTGGAGGGAGAACACCTTGAGAGACTCAGCAGCTGAGGGCTGAGCCAGGCACTCACCCACCTCCTAGAGAAATGCTCCTGCCCTCCCTCCCATCTCACAGGCAGGAGCTTACCAGGGCTCCCAGGGATGGGCCAGAGGCCAGAGCTGGGTCCCCAGGGAGCAGCACACACAGAACACGCTCCACCACAGTGGAGAGGCAGAGGTACTGAAATGTGTTGTGAAACAGCACAAGACTCACTCTCCAAACCTGGCCAGAGTGAGGCCATGGCCACGGCAGAGCTGGGGAATGCAGCTGTCCCTGCTGTCCCCGTGGCTGAAGGAAGCCCTCCCACCACAGGCAGACCCCCGTGTGCCCAGCACACAGCCCTGGCACAGCAGCACTGACCTCCCCGCAGTACTCGGAGATGAACTCGTTCTTCTGCACGGCCTCCTTGATGAAAGTGCCCCAGCCAGCCACGTCCGACGGGGCCAGCAGCAAGTGCTGGAAACAAGGTGAAAGGAAGTGGGAAGGGCTGGCAGGTACAGCACCTCCCAGCACCCAGATCACAGAGGCAGAGGGGAGTCGGTGTCCATCCAGCATCCCCTTGGTATGGGACACACGACTTACCCCGTTACACCGAGCTGCACAGGACTTGGCACACACTAATTTGCAACTTCCTCTGATTTTTTTTTTTAATTTTTTTTTTTTTTTAAATGCAAAATCTCTTGCCCTGACCAGCAGAATTCAAGGCTAAACCTTTCTCTGGAGCCACTTCTTTTACACTCGCTTGCTCTCAACCTTTCCTCACGTAACTCCCGTCTCCTGATTTTCACACCCCCAATCCCCACTCCAGAGCAAGCGCTGCAGAACCCCGGGGCAGAGCAGCTTCTCTTCCAGACCTCAGCACTCAGGCAGCTGCAGGAGGGGGCTCATGCCCCTCTCCCACACAGCAGCAGCAGCAGCTCTGTATCAGCCCTGAGGCAGCCCCTGCCATGCTGCTGTCAATACCTTTTTGAGGCCTCGCTGGATGCTGCAGTTCTTGCAGGAGACCACCTTGCAGTCCCAGTGCTCCGAGGCGCCGCAGGTGAGGCAGAGGTCGGGGTCGCACTCCCGCACAGCCAGGTAGCAGGGGCACTGCTTGGTGTTGCACTGGGTCTTGCAGCGGCAGCCCGGGAAGCGGTTCTGACCTGCAGTGACACAGCCCACGGGTTTGCACTGTGAGGTTTGGCAGAGAACAGAGGGGCCCTGCCCTGGATGTTCCTCCCCTAGCCAGGTCTCACCCCGGCAGGCCCTGGGTAGGGACAGAATGTTCCAGACAAAAGCCTGGCTGTTGCTTGCGTTGCAGAGCTGGGAATGGAAGCCCAGACACGAGAAACAAACGTGGCAGAGCAGTGGCCCGATGCCCACCCTAAATGCTGGTCACACATCCTGCTCACAGGGGACCAGCAGCAGCACCCATGGGATACAGACACCGTTAGCATTCTCTAACAGCAGCGTCTCTCAGCTGCCAAGAGCTGCAAGGCAGCATAGAACTATTTCCCCTTGGACTTTAACAGCTGCTAATCAAACTGCTGCAGACAGACAGAGCAGTGAGTGCAGGAATAAAGCAGGCCCCCAGCACGCCCCAGCTCTGCACCCTCCCTCTGCTCTGTGCCAGGAGATCTGGCTGCTTTCCTGCCCAGTAGTGCTCAGCCTCTCCTTACAGTCAGGGTTGCACTGGCAGAACTTCTCACAGAAATTCTGAGTCATGATGCAAGGGCAGGAGCTGTCACAGGGATGCTCCGGATGGTCGCAGGGCTGGTAGTTGTACACCTGGGTTGGTGAATTATCTAGAGCAAGAGGAGAAATGCCCGGATTAGAAGCTGTACTTTGCAGGAATCTTTTCAAAGCAGCACTGGAGCAGAGAAGGTGCAAGCTCCCCATGTGCCTGCACTGGTCAGGGAGCCCAGAAGCACCCAGCTCCCTGTGGGAGGGGTTGCACACCAGCTCTCAGCCTCCCCTGACTGCAGCAAACCCCACCACAGGTGTGGCCCTCAGCAGGCCCTGGCACGGCCACAATGCCCCCAGCACCCCAAGGAGCCCAGCCAGGCAGAGCTGCTCCCCTCTGCACTGTGGAGCTGCCAGGATGCTGAGCAGGACACGGCTTGTCCCTCCACGGCAGTCGGAGCTGGAGAACTCGACCCTCACAAACCTCCCATGACACAGCCACAGCCAACACTACCTTTCTTCAGCTGGATCTTCCTGCAGTGTGCAGCCCACAGCCTGGAAAAGGAGCAGAAAGGGTTGAGAGGATGCATGAGCCATCAGGGAGAGCCAGCCAGGACCGCTCAGCACCGGCAGCCAGCAGAGCAGAGGCAGGTTTGGCAGCTTCATGCATTAGTGATCAGCAGCCGCCATAAAATGGAGAAAGATGAGAGCAGTGCAGCTGCAGCAGAAGCTTTTTAAGGCAAACACAGCTTTTTAGGCCAGAATAATACCGGACACACTGGGATCAGCACACAAAGTAGGTTACAGGCTGGGGAGCTGAGGGTGAGGCTGCTGTTAGGGCAGAGGCAGCAGGGGCTGCAGCCAGCAATGCCCTGTCTTTGGGCTGAGCCCAGGGCCACCGAGACCCCAGAACCACTGAGCCCCCAGCGAGGGCAGCAGATCCCTCGAGCTGGGCCAGGGCCAGCGCCCAGTGGCAGCACCAGCAGTCCCGTGTGACAGCAGGATGTGTGCACAGATGGGAGCCAGATGGGGATTACCAGGAATGCGTTGGCACAAAAAAGGAGCGGATCTGGTTGCATTTAAAGAACAAAACAAGCTTGTCCAACACTTGCCTGTGCTTCCTTTTCTTCTTCTGGGATGGGTTCATTAATTCATTTGTTGGCAGTTTCGTTATAAGTGATTCCTTCACGGCAAACTGAAAGACCTACCAAAGAACAGAAGCAAAAACAGAAACGAGTTCAGCGCACTCGAGTTGTTTTATCAAAAGCATAATCAGAGAGTGTGAGCAGGCACACACAGCGGGGCTCCCAGGCCCAGCGAGCAGCAGCTCTGCCCCACTTCCCTGGACTCCAAACCCTCGCCCCTCTCCTGCTGCTGTATCACCTGTTCCAGGCACCCACCTGCTTGCAGGTCTTTGTCCCCAGCAGCCTGGCAATGGAGCAGAAGTTGTTGAAGTAGGTCCCGTGGAAGACGCGGAAGAGCGACTCCTCAGCTCCCGTCCACTCCACAGGCTCCTGTGGCGTCTCCACTGCAAACAGCTGGGAGGAGGCCGGGCTCAGCTTCTGCTTGGTGGGGGTTTGGCAGCGGGAGTTGGCCTCTGGCAGTAAAAGGCAGATGTTAAGCCAAGCACTCCCTGGAAGAAGGCACCTGGGGGGCAGTGGTCCCCCTCGCAGTGCCTCACAACCCTGCACTGCACTCCTGGCCACACACTCCTGCCCCTGGCTGGGAACAGCGCTCAGAGCCAAGGGCTCGCTCTGAGCTTTGCAGGTCCCAGCAAAGCTCTCGCTTTTCTCGCCAACTTTCCTTCTTCCTGGGAGAGCACAGTGAATCCAATAACAGCAAGGGCAGGGCCGGTGTCCCTCAGGTTTTCTGGGAACACCGACTGTTTGCTAACTCCAAACTTCCCAGCTGTGCTGGAAGCAGAGGGGACCCCAGGGGAACTCCAGCTGTGAGAACCCACCCGCCCTCACTGCCCACACCAGGGGTGGGCAGGTGTCCCAGGGCTGGCACCGTACCCGAGGAGCTCGAGGCCCACTCGTTGCCCGTGTCCCGGTCGCTGTCCCCCTCCCTGGTCTCGGTGACTGCTGGGGTGCTGGAGCAGGACGCACCCACCACGTGGTGCCGGCGGCGGCGCCGGCCTGAGCACTTGGACCGGGGGTTGTGCAGCGCAGCAAACTCCTTGGCTCCTTCCTGCAAGCAGAGCAGAAGACAAGACGGGTGGCAGATGACCAGGGAAAGCAGGAAGGCTTCTCTACAGGCCATGGGACAAACCCTGTCCTGCCACCACCAAGAACAGGTGGAAGGGGCCGGCCACGCGTGGTCTCTTCAGCAAGTGCCAAACCCTGCCTGGTTAGCGGAGGCTTCCTGGTCCTGGCCCCTCAGCCCACTCCTCTGGATCTTCCTGGCCTCTTGCTCTGCTCCTTTTTAACCTGGGTTTAATTTCTCTAACACTGCACTGAGTCCAGAGAAATCATTTGTCACACAATTTCTCATCTGCTATAGCTCTGGAATTGGTCTTTGTTGGAAATCTGCTAAAATATGCATCTGGCAAGGTCTGCATTTGCATTCTCAATATCCTGAATCCAACAAGGACTAGAACTAATTCTGGAAGTTGTGAAAAAGTCCACAGAGCTCTGCAGAGCAGGGCTGGCCAGGGCACTTCTCCTGTGGTTTCTAAAGCAGCAACGCACAAACGTACCAGCCAGAGGAAACAGTCCGCGCCGCAAGGGTCTGGCTCAATCTTGGTCTCTCTATTCTTTCGTTTGTACACATTAGGAGTAGCATGAAAAGCTGAAAAAGTAACAGTTATCTTTACTATTAGCAATCTCCAAGAGTCTCCCCCCACTCTGCAAGGGACAGGAAGCAGGAGCCGGCGTGTCCAAGGGCTCCCGTGGCAGCTGAACCCCCGGGGCATCCCTGCTCCAACCCCCAGTGGGGACTCGGCAGCTTGGAAAGGAGAGGCCATAGGAAAAGGATCTGCTTTCAGACTGAAACAAAAAGACCACGTGATCTTAATATTATATCTTTTAATAAATAATTCACTGGAAAAAGTCCTGTGACTTCCCAAAGAAGCCCTTAGACCTGGAGAACAGCAGGTCTGGCAGCTAAGCAGCATCCAAAAGGCTTTGGCAGGACCAACCGCAGGAACAGGACTAAGATGAAGCTGTAAGTTCCAGTGAGGCAACAAAACACAGGGGGCATGTCCAGACTTTGGCAGTGAAACATTCATGCCTTTCACTGACGAGCTTCTGCAAAGCAAGAGCAAAGTCTGGCGGTGGCAGGACCACGGCACAAACTGCCGGGAGCTCGGATGAGGCGTGCTGAGCGCGGAGAGGGGGCAGCCACGCAGGTCGGTCTGCCGTCCGTGGGAGCAAAGGGTGGAGCCGTCTGTACAAAAGGCTTCTGGGCACCTGCCAGCTCCTAAGGGCCCCCACTGCAAGCTCGGGAGGCACCACCCTCCAGAGACTGCAGCGCGGACTAAGCAAGGCGTGCAGAGGAAAACCGAGGAGAGAGGGCTCTAGGGAAGCGTCCGGCCGAGGCGGCACTTACGATGCAGAAAGCAGTCGTACTTGAAGCAGCGGCGGCAGAAGAGGGTGTGGAAGGAGTGCAGGGACTGCTCCCGCTGCACTGACTTGGCGCACGGCCCGTCGATGTTGGGAGTGCACTGTGGCGGCAGCACGTTGGGGTCCGACACCTCCGTGAGCTCCCGGTACCTGTCGGCAAACAGAAACACCCAGGGGATGTGCACAATCTCCCATTTGGGGCACTTTACGTGGCTACATCACTACATGGGCCCGTCAGACTCTGGCCCAGGTATTTCTGAGGCCTAACTGCAGTTTGTAAGGTTTTTTGTAAGGCTCAGAACGTGCTCTGCCCACGGAGCCTGCAGGCACCAAGCTCTGCGGCCTGGACGGAGCTGGCCTCTGAAATAGAGATTTCATCCCCTGCTAAGAAAGGTAACAGAGATCTTCTACCTCTCTTTCATATCCTCTGGAAAGCCGTACTCAGGAAACATGGAAGAAATGGCAGTGAATATCATGTCATTGGGGAAGCGCTTCTTGGAACACTTCTTGCTGCCTACAAAGAGCAGGAGACACAATTCCTCAGCCAGGCTGATGTGAACAGGCCTTTCCTTCTCACACAGAGCGATTCCAGCGACGTTCAGGTTTGTATTTTAAGGCAGAAATGTAATCCCATACACAGTGGATAAGCCTGAAGTCCTGCAGCCGGGCTAAGGCATTTTCAGAATCAGTGCATGAACACTTTCAGCACAGCATGACTGCTGGAAGAACCAACACCTCTTAAGCAATATTCCTATTTATTTCTCCCAGGGCAGGACTTTCAGACAATGCTTTTCTACATCCACAAAGGTCCTGGTACTTGTGCCACCCAAATCACCACAGATCAAGGACAAAGACAAAACTATTTGTCAGCATTCCTAAGGTCATCGAGGACACAGGAAAATCCTACAGACCAGAGCTTGCTCTAGGCAACAAGAGCTCCAGGTGCCACAGGAGAGGGAAGAGAAACAGTAATACATGGAAAGCGGGTCTGGAAGGGATTTGAAAAGGCCCATGTCCCTGCCTCCCACAGAAACAGATCCACCCACGCCCCCCTGATAGGTGCTTGCCAGACCAGCACTTGAAAACCTCCCCAGGCAGAGCTCCCACAGCCTCCTCAGATAACACCCAGCTCTGCTAATCTCACTAGGAAATGGGTTTCCAGATGACTCATCTAAATTACTCCTCATCACACTTTAAAGCTGGTGATTTCTTGTCCTGTCCACAGCGGACAGTGAGAACAACCCAGGGCAGGACGGAAACCTGACCACCATAACGCCCATTTCTGTGGCCAAACCCACCTTCTGCTGCAGTTCTCTTTCTTTTCCTTGTGACTGGCAGCTCCTCCTTCCCATCCTCCTGTTTCACCTCAGAATCGTTGTGTCCTTCCTCCTCCTCATCCGAGTACTGATTCAGGGCGTTCACCAGCTCCAGGAACACGGCATCGCTGATGAGGACCGACCCTGAGATCATTTCTGAAACACAGAGGTGTGGGACTGCCACCACCTTTCTCGCTCCTTGCCATGGCCACATCACTGCTACCAGCCGAGCCCTTCTCTCAGTTTTGTTGGGAGTGTTTTTCGTATTCAGCAACATCAGAGTTTTCCCTTCCTTTCTCCCCCCCAGGCAGTTTTATGATGGGGCAGGCAGTGCTGTAGGGGAATAGACTGGCTTTTCATTGATTAAACTCTTGGCTAAAGTCACAAGCAGAACAGGGTTGTTGAGTTCCTCCCACCCCCTTGCATATTTTCAGCATCCCAGAGGAGCCTGTGAATCCCTGTGCACAGAAGCATCTGCTCCAGAGCACCTCAGGCCTGGAATGGAGCAGGGTATCCAAAGGCAGGACTGTGTCCTTGCAAAGGAGAACAGCAGGCACAGTCCTGTTTCCCTGCTCTGAGAGCTCCCACAGAAAAGCTGGTTACTGCTGCCACCTTTTGACTTCTGAACTACTTAGACATGTTATTTTCAAGAGACTGATTCACAAAACCACAGGATGGGTTGGGCTGGACAGGACCTTAAAGCTCATCTCATTCCACCTCTTGCCATGAACAGGGCACTAGATCAGGTTGCTCCACGTCCCATCCAACCTGGCCTTGAAGGGACAGGGCTGGCTGCTCCCAGGTTACCTTCCTCTCCGTGGACTTTCCCATCATAGTTATTAATAAGCTCTTCAATGAACGTTTCATCTTCTTCCTTCACCTCGTCGCCCATGTAAGGGATATTGCACAGAACAGTTTCATCCTCCACCTGAAGAGAGATCAGACACAAATCAGAAAAGCAGTGTTTGCTGATACCAGCACAGCGGGCTGTGCCCAAGGCTGCTCCAGTCCCTCAAACCAACAAAGGACGACCAGTAGAAGTTTAGATGTCTCGTCCCTGATATGTCAGTGCTATCTCACTGCCACCCAGTCAACAAAATAAAGGACCTGCCTAAGAAATAAAATTCTTTGTTTAAAAGGACATAAAAATCCTAGGAAAAAACCCAAAGCAAGCCCCCTCCCCCAAATATATTCACTTCTTGAACCCTGTGAAGCAACTCCTTGACCCTGCCAAAGGTGTAAAGACCACCTGGGTGAGACAGGGTGGGCACGTGGTTGGCTTATGGGATTCCACAAAACAGGCACCCAAAACAACACTTTCTATCATCTCTCGGGCAGACATCGCCTGAAACGAGTGGGTTGAAGAACCACTTCCCAGCTGTGTAACAATCACACACCAACCACACATACCATGAAATTCTGCTGAAGAGGGGACCAGGAGTACATAATGGGAACCAGTGCCACCGTGTTCAGGGTCCTCATGTAGAGTGTCTGGCTTGAAAATCCTGGGAAAATGCTCTCAACAGTGCACTGGAATGCAAGCACAGAGAGAGGCAGTGAGGAACCGCCCTGGGAGGCTGTCACACCCTGAGAGAAAACAGAATTCAGGACAAACACATGGAAGCCCCACATCCACTCCGTGACTCCTCCACAGGAAAAAGCCTTTGGAGTACTTTTTGCCCATTTCTGCATCCCAGAAGTGCGAGGCACAGCCTGACACTGACCTAGGACAGGAAAACCTCATCCCGTATCCCCACAGCTCCCTGCAGAGCCCTGGTTCCAGTCCCCACTTGCTGCTGCTGTGCTCCTTTTCCACTGCACACCTGCTTCAGGAACGGGTGCCCACTGACTGGCTTCATCAACTGCACCGGCTGCACTCGCAGCTTCTTCCAGTCTTCATTCAGGATTTGAGTCTTTTCGTGAACCTTCGCAAAGTTGGCCACAAAAAGAGCCTGAGAGGAGAGAAAGGAGCTCTCAAAATTTAAGAAATCTGGTTGAGAACACTAAAATTCTTTTTGAGATTCTGTTTTGAGCATCAAAACACAGACAAGGCTGAGCATTTCAGACCGGTGACACTCATTAGAAGGAATTCTAATTAAACTCAGCACTGGTAGGAAACTGTGCTGAGAACCCACCCAACAGCCAGGGAGCTTAGGGTAACTCCTGATGCCAGCCAGCCTCCTCTGAAATCCTGCTGCCAAGAGAAAGTCATCTGAAACCCACAGCACTGAGAGGGTTCAGCAGGGAGATACCATAAAAAACAAGTGGAAACAAGCCCTCATCCAACGGCCTTGTGTGTGCGAGAACACGGCCCCAGACCAAGGACAGAGCACGGGGAGAAGCAGCATCTGCTCCCACTGATCTGGCTTGCAAGTCAAGAAGAGCTTATCAATCCACAGGCTGACAGCCCTGGCGCTGCTTGGGCTCCCTGAGCTGAAGGGAAGCGTTTCGGGGATGCCCCAGCCCAGCCCAGCCCCTGCCGGGTCTGTACCTTCGCTCCCATGTTCGCCTGGAACCTCTTGAGCTGCCGCAGACGCATGTACTCAGACTTGACCTTCCTCTTCCAGTACATGATGCACTTCGATGTCGGAGGAGTGGCGATTTCCATCTTTCTGTAACAGCACAGGAAGAATAAACATCGAATAACGGAGAGCTCAATCCCGGAAAGGAGCGATATTAGAAGAACATCCCTGTGGATTTTTAAATGCATCACAGACTGGAAGCAGGCAAAATAACGGCCTGGTCGGTCTGCAGCGCTCCTGCCTGCGGAACACCCGCGGCCGGAGCTCACCAACAGGCCCGGGACAGCAGCGAGGGGCGGCGCTGACCGGGACCGGCTTCTCCTGCCCCTCGAGCCCCCCGGGGCAGCGCCTGACCCCGCGGTGTCGCTGGGATCCCCGACCCCCGCCCGGGACACGGCGCCGCAGAGCCGCGGGTGCAGCTCCAGCCGCTCCGGCCGGGCCCGTGCGCTCCGGGAACGCGCACCGGAGAGAACCGGGACCGGCAGCGCCGGCGGAACGGGGAGCGTGACCAGGCCATGAAGCCGCCCCGGGTCCCGGCCGGTACCACGGGGACCCCGCTCCCCTCCCGGGATCGATCCCCCCCCCGGGCCCCGCCCGCACTCACGGCTCGGCCATCGCGACACGGGGAGGCCGCGCGCCCCCGCGACACTGCGCGCGCGCCGGCCCCGCCCTGCCCCGCCCCGGCCCCAGGCCCCGCCCCCCGGTCCCGCGTATTCCCTGCCCCCGCCTTGCGGCCACGCCCCTGTCCCGCCGCAGGCCACGCCCCCCTTTGCGGCCACGCCTCCGTCCCGGTGCTCCCGGTGCTCCCGGTGCTCCCGGCTGTTCCAGCGCGCTCGGGGCTCCCCCGGCGGATCGGGCCCGTGCCAGCCCGGCGAACACCCCCACGGGCTGCGGGGGACGGGCCGAGCCCGGCGGCTCTGAGCCCGCTGCCCGCCCAGCCCGCCCCGGTGCCCGCCCATGCTCGGTGCTCCCGACCCCGCCTCTGCTGCGGGCCCGGTCCGGTCCCGCGGGAAGCGCTTGGCGGGACAGCGCCGGTCCCGTCCCGGGGCAGCCTGGCTTCGACGAGTCGCCCCGGCAGTCCCGGGCCTCTCTGGCTCCCCGTGGCGGCGCCGGGCAGGAAGCGGCTGCTGGCGGCGGCCCTTCCTGACCCGGTGGCCTCGGCAGTGGGGAGCGGGCGGTGCTGGCTCCTGCCCCGGCGGGGGCCTCGTCCATCCCCTCTCCGCGATTCGGAGAGCCGGCTGCCCCGTGGCGCCCCTCCCCCCGACCCTGATGGGGTCACCCCGAGGGGACGGACGAGCAGTCCCCGCATCCCACCCGCATCTGGGAGCTTCGCTGAGTCAGGCGGGGCGGGGAGTCCCTGCAGTTGGAGCTGGTTCTATAGCACTAGGGGATGCCTGCATTTGCCCTGAGCAGGGGCAGCACTGGGAGAAGAGTCCCAGGCACCAGGATCCTGACCCTGCACGGGCCAAGCCCCTTCTTTGGCGCCCCGGCTGGGGCTTGGCCGGGAGCACCGGGGATGCCAGGCTGGGTGGGGGGCCCAGGCCTTTGGCTAGCAGCCACCATCCCATCCCTGCCTGTCCTGTCCCTGCCCATCCCCTCCGGATGCCCCAGGAGGGAGGTGGCCGTCCTGGCCCCGGGGCCGTGCTGAGATCATTGGGTGTCTCCCTGGCAGAGGCTCCTGCCACCCAGCCGGAGGCTCTGCTGGCTCCACCAGAGACTGGGACTGGGGGGCTCCAGCTCTGCAGCCACTGGAGTGCCAGGGATAGTTTCCAGATGTGGCCACTCGTCTGCAGAAGGTCCCGTGGTGCCCCGGAGTGGTGGCTGCTGTGGCCTGGGGAGCGTCAGGCAGCTCTGCCAGAACCTTTGCTGGGGAGCTAAAGACAGGACTAATCATCTTTCCACAGCAGGCAGGGTCCCTCTGACCTGTGTTTCACTGCACTCCAGTCCCCATTCTGCATGTCTACAGGTGGCTGTTAAAGGGGATGAGGCTTTGAGCTGCACCCTGCCCCTGGCCAGGGGTGAAACGAGCTCACCTGGCCTCAGCCCCATCCTATGAGGGAATGCCGTGGACCTGTGGGCTGGGGTCACCCTCAGCTGGGGGACATGGGCCCCTGGGTGGGAACTGTTCCAGGAATAGGGGGCTCCAGCAGAGTTGGGCAGGCACTGGGCTGGGCGGTCCAGGAGGAAGGCGTTGGGGCCAAGAACTGTCAGGGTCGGCCAAGTCTCTGCCCTCTCCCCACCTCCTCGGCCCTGTGCCTGTGGGCAGGTCACGTCATCACCCTTCCCTCCTCTGCCGCGGGCCTGGGCAGGGGCTGGAGCTGCCCCAGCTGTGCTGCCCGTGGGGGCAGGTGTTGGGACCACTGGTCCCCCTGCCTCCCCCATCCCTGGGCGGCAGCGCCCGTCCGGGGACATTGTGCTTCCCCGTCCACTCCCCCCGCTGCTGGGCTGCCTGCCCTCCACGCAGGAGACGAGGGATTTCACAACCCAGCCCAGACAGGATTAAAGAGAAATACACAAGTAAACAAATCGCGGCCTCGTAAGCCTGGACGTGCCGTGCGGGGAGCAGAGCCTCCGGGCCGGTGGGTGAGGCGCGGGCGTCGCGGGTGCCGGGGCGCCGCAGCAATGCCCGCGGGGGCCGGCACGGCGGAGTCCCGCCGGCAGAGCCGCTCCAGAGCAGCGCCGAGCAATCTCATTTTTCACACGTCTCCCGTAGTCAAACTGCCCCTGTCAGAGGAAAGGAGTTGCTTCCTGTTATTTCCATTGAAATCCTTGTCCCGGTCGTTAGCCGGCAGGCTTTGGCAGGATGGCACCGCGCGCGCACACAAGCTCCGGCCACCTCTCCCAAGGGCTCCTGCTGCTCTGGGGTAAGTGCGCGGGGGGCGGCCCCGGGGGCTCCGCACCTCGCACCACCCCGCGTGTGGCCGCCCTCCCGCTCGTGGGGCCCGGGGTCGGGGTCTCAGCTCAGCCTGACCCGCCGCCCACCCCGGCATGGGACTGGCCCGAGGGCGGCTGGGAGAGCCGCCGACAGCACGGCCAGGGGTCAGTGGCAGGTGGGTGCCAGGGGCAGCCCCCACCACGCTCATCCCCGATCTAGCAGGGAGCCTTGCAAAGCCCCGAGCTGCAACAGGAGCCGCAGCACCACACGTGCCCAGGCAGAGGGGCTGGATGGGTCCATCAGGGATAGAGATTGGGACAGGGTGGGCTGCCCTTTCCTCAGCCACTGTACCAGCCCAGGAGCACCCCGTGGCCAGTGCCTGGCTGTCCTAGAGCTCCCCATGAGCGACCTAGGCAGGGCCCACCGGGGCCCACCAGCACTGCTGCCCCACACCATGGGCGGGCCCTCGGCCAAGGGTGGAAGATGGACGGGGCGGTTTCCTTGGGCCATGGGGCCCCGTGGGGCAGGCGAGACGTGCCCCACGCCCTTGGCAGGCTGTGCTGGGCGTGGGACTGATGGCAGGCGGAGGGGCTCTCCGGCAGTGCCGTGCTGTGTCCAGCGCTTCCTCTTCCTGACTCAGCCCTGTCCGGCTGCAACGCAGACACCCAGGCTAACAGGGCAGCTGCTGTGTTGGCTCCCCATGGGCAGGGGGCACGGCTCACCCCTGTGCTGTGACCACAGCCCAGGGCCCACTGCCCCCAGAGAGCTCCTCTGAGCCCTTCAGCAGCTGCCCACAGCCTGGCTGGACTCCTCTGCACAGCCGCAGCCCATCTAGGGGGCTGGACACCCTGGCCCCAGCATGTGCCAGGATTGGGGCAGCTCACCATCCTGCGCCCCAACTGCTGGCTCTGGTGGCCCCCAAGGGACACTCAGAACCAGTTCCCTGCTGCAGACCCAGCCTCTGCTGAGGCAGCTCCCACGCGTGGAGCCCTACCAGCACCTGCCCCCCTAGACCCTGTGTTGTTCCTCACTCTGTGTCCCCCCTTCTGCAGTGCTCCTGGGGACTGGGCTCTGCCACATGGATGCCGAGACAAAGGGCTTTGGCCAGGATGCCGGGACAAGCTCACCCATGGCCATGTCCAATGGGACAGCCCAGCCCATGGGTGAGTGCTGGGGCTCAGCGAGGGCTGGGCAGCACCCTGAGCCCAACGGTGCCCTGGCCAGGGCTGGCTCTGCACCGCAGGGTTATCCTCCCCCTTTCCCCTGGCTATCCCCAAAATAGCTGGCCCATGCCAGCCAGCAGCAGCCTGCCCTCCCACTGTGCTCGTGGCATTGCCCTGGGACTGCTGTGGGGTCTGGGCAGAACCCCAGGGCTGCTGCAGGGTCTCTCCCCCACCTTGCCAGTGTCTCTCCCACTGGCCTGGGTGTCACCTGGCAGCAGGGGCAGGCAGGGATGTGCTATGGAAGGGGCGTGCTCAGCACCTTTCCCCACAGAGGGAAATTACACCGACATCACACAGAAGTGCTGGGATTACTTTGTCTACCTGATGAGGAATGTGACGGCGTCAGAGTTGTGCGAGTGGAAAGTCATCAGCAGGTATGGGGCGGCGGGACCTTCCCCTCTGGCAGCAGGGCAGAGGGGCTGGGCAGTCCAGAGGGGTGCTGCTGGGCTGGGGATAGCCCGGGGGTCTGTGCCCTGGTGCCCTGTCCCCTGCCAGTGCCCTGGCTGTCTCCCCAGGCCCTACAGCGAGCTGCAGTACTGCCTGGAGCTCTGGGCCGACCGCCTGAACTACAGCTACCCCAACGCGCTGGCGGAGCAGTACATCTTCCAGAGCCACCACCGCTACTTCCACAACTGCACCCTGGAGCACCCGGTGTACCTCGACCCGCCCGAGGACGTGCTGCTGGCCATGATCATCGCCCCCATCTGCCTCATCCCCTTCCTCGTCACCCTGGTCATCTGGCGCAGCAAGGACGGCAAGGCGCAGGCCTAGCGCTGCCCCCCCGTCCCGCGGCGGGGCACGGACCCCCGGCCGCCCGAGCCGCCTCGCGGGCTCCCGGGGCCCGGGGAGGCCGGTTCCTGCCTTCCCCCGCGCCGCCGCCCGGGATTAAACGCTTCTCCCCCCCCCACGCGTGGCTCTGATTCTTCCGTCGTTCGATCCCGCCGCGGGCCCTCCCGCCGCCAACTCCCCGGCACGGGCACACGCCGGCAGCTTCTTGCCGCGGGGAACGTGCCTCTTGGGACACCGGGACCGGGAACGGGACCGGGAACAGCGGGACCGGGAACAGCAGGACCGGGAACACCGGGACCGGGACCGGGGCGGGGCACGGAGGGGGCGGGACCTCGCATGGAGGGCGGGGCTTCGGTATGGATGGGGCGTGGTCTCGCTGAAGTGGGCGGGGCGCCGCGGCCGCGCCGGAAGCGGGCCGGGCCGTGCCGTGCCGGGACGGGAGGCGGTGGCGGCGGTGGCAGTGGCGGTGCCGATGGCGGAGACCGAGCCCGCGAGCTTCGCGTGGCCCTGGCAGTACAGCTTCCCGCCCTTCTTCACGTGAGCGCGGGCGGCCACGGCGCGGGGCTGGGCCGGGGCGATCAGGGCGGGCGACGCGGGACACCGGGGTGGGGGCACCGGGCCCGGGGCGGGGCGGGAGTGCCGGTACCTCGGCGGCCCCGGCGCTGACGCGACCCCCCTTCCCCTCCACAGGCTGCAGCCCAACGGCGAGACGCGGCAGAAGCAGCTGTCGGCCTGGTGCGCGCTGGCGCTGGCGTACAGCCGGCAGCACCGCCTGCCCGCCATGACGGTGCGGGAAGCGCAGGACATCCCGCTCTTCGCCAACCGCCGCCTCCAGCGTATCCTTTGGGCCCGGTGCCCGCACCCGTTCCCCGTCCCCTAGCACCCCGACCCCTCCCGACCCCGGCTCCGTCAGCGCCTCCTTAACCCGCGCCCAGGGAAGCTGCCGCTGGAATCCATCCAGGTGGTGCTGGAGGAGCTCCGAAAGAACGGTGGGTGCCTCGTCCGTCCGTCCGTCTGTCCGTCCGTATCCCCGAGCGCAGGCGGTGCCCGCCCCGCTCCTACGGTCATCCCTGCCTGCGCCTCCAAGGGAGCCAACCCTGCCGTTGCAGGCAGATTTAGCTGAGGGGGAAGGAGGTTCTCAAAAGAGAAACCGGTTTCTGTAGACACAGCGATGTTTAGGAACTTGGTGTGAGCAGCTGGGAGGAGGCCGGACCCTGAGGCTGCCCCTGGGTGCAGTGTCCTGGCATGTGTCCTGAAATCTGCACGTTTGACCCTTACTGCTGACTTGTGCTCTGATTCAGTCCCTGTTCCCTGTTGTTTCTAGGGAATCTGGAATGGTTAGATAAGAACAAAACCAGCTTTCTGATCATGTGGAGGAGACCAGAAGAATGGGGAAAGCTCATCTATCAGTGGGTGAGAGAGCTGCACACCCAGACCAGGCTCAGTGCCTGAGAGGACAGGGGGTCCTGGCTGCTGTTTGGGAAAGACCACTGCAGTGTTCTCCTCTTGCTTCCTCATTGCTTTTACCTTCCTGCTTCCATTTCTCCCTGTTGCAGGGAGGGGTGGGGTTAGCAGCAGCTTCTTGCTTGCTGTGAGCTGCAGTGTCAGTGGTGGGTGCCACTGTCTGCCCCCAGTGCCACTGGCTGTTCCCTGGTGAGGACAGGACAGTGTCACTTTGTATGTGGGCAGAAAGAACTGAGGGACAGGGCTCTTCATCCCCTCAGGCTGCACTTCTGACCCTGCTACCCCAAGCTGCTGCTGCTCCTGGAGTGCTGTGCACGCTTCGTGTCCCGTGCCCTGGGATGTAGGAGGATGTTCAGCCACATGGATGAGATTTGCTGTGTTGCCTTTCTGTTCCCAGGTGCTGAGGAATGGCCTGACCAACTCTGTGTTCACGCTGTACGAGCTGGCCAGCGGGGATGATACCGAGAGCGAAGGTAATGCCAGGGCTCGTGGTCCAGAGCAGGTTTTCAGAGCACACTGGATTGGAGCATGTAAACAGTTAATTCTCAGATCTTAGTTCTGTAGATTAAATATTTTGAAATCTCACGTGCAAACTTACCCCCCCCCCCACTACTGGCACGTGCTGCTCCAAAGGCTTTTAACACTTCGCAGGAACATCTCCCTCTGCAATTGCATTTTCACTTCCCCAGTGCCCAGCACTTTCTCTGCTGAGGTGAGGGGTGTTTTGTTTTCATGCCGAGCTCCTGCACTGCCTTAGAGGCTGCTGTGACTCATCCCTGCTGTCTGGTGACCTTCAGGCTCTGTTCCTGAAGCAGTGATGTAGGGATGAGCCTGTCAGCGTAGCCGTGACTCTCAATTTGCTGTAGTGTTACTGTGCCCCTCTGAGCCCTCTGCCCCCAGTCCCTGGACCTTGCAAGCCTGCTTATTTCCTGATGTGATATTTTTTTGGGTTTTTTGTCCTGTTGATGGGTATCTTTGTCCTTTCCTAGAGTTCCATGGCTTGGATGAGGCCATGCTGCTCCGTGCCCTGCAAGCCTTGCAGCAGGAGCACAAGGCTGAAATTATCACGCTGGATGACGGCCGAGGCGTCAAGTTCTTCTGACAGGAGCCCCCTTCCCCGGCTGCAGTCTTCGGTCTCGCTGACAAGGGTCGCTCCCCGGGCCTGGCTTCACGCCCTGACTGCAAGTAGCTGCATCCTCAGGACTTCTTGGGGCAAGGAGAGTCTGCGAACCCTTCCAAAGACACGACTTAGAAATTTCCTGAGACCCTCTGTCTGTCTGTTCTTCCTGTTGACGTGTTTGAGAGGCTGAAGCTGCTCTGGGCAGTTCCGAGAGGGACCCCCAGTAGTGAAAAACACCGGGGCTGCTGCTGGTCCTTCTTGCTGTGACAGCCTCGGAGCAGTCCCAGCTGGCTGGTTGAGCTTGTCCTCAAAGGACCCCCTGTCCCACGTGCCTGGGCCCCCCAGTCCCACTGCAGTGCCCTGGGGGTGAGGCAGGAGCAGGGGCCTGGCTGTGGCTGCTGTGCTGTGGAGGCCCTCAATGGCAGAAGGAAAGTCACTCGCTGCCAAACGGGCTGGGGGATGCCAAGGAACCAATTTCAGGTGATTAAAATGAAATGTATTTATAGAGCAGCGTGGGTGTTTTCATCTGTCTTTATTTTCCCATCAGAAACAACATTTGCTTTAATTTTGCACATGCAGGCTGCTGGCAGCCCCTGGGTTTGTGCAGAGGTGACGGGGTGAGCTCTGTACCACTGTGGCTGGTAAAGGGATGACTCAGCTTTAGACTCGTGGTGCTGATAACAAAGTCCCCAGCCTGTCAGAAGCCGTGGCCCAGGTACAGCTGCTGACCCCCTGAGTCCTGGGGCAGCCAGATGGCTGTGCTGGGGCAGGATCACGCTTGCCTTTCCATAGTGGAGGCTGGGGGCAGGGCTGGAGTGACCTTTGGTCAGACCAGTGTGGTCGTTCTGGGGGTCCAGCACCTGCCCTGGCCAGTGCTGAGCAGCGTGTCCAGCCTGCCCTGCCCTTGGGGACAACCCAGCACTGACAGCCGGTGTCAGTGTCAGGGAATCCTCAGTGTGGGTGAGATGCTGGAGTCCAGGGGCTGCAAAATTTAAAACTTTCCATTTAGTAACTGGAGCCCATTGGCCTGAACTTGGTGGGATGTGCTGCCCTGGTCTGGGCACATCTCTCTGGAGCTGCAGCTGAAGCTTAGGCTTCCCGTCCGTGCCCGGGGACAGCAGTGCTGTGGAGGAATTCCTGAGTGCCAGCACTTTTGTGCTGGATAAAGGCACTGGCAGTGCTCATGGTGAATCACTGACACACTGGGCTGGTGTGGTCTTCAATCCCTGTGAGCTCTGCCGTGGTGCTGCTGTGCACTGACAGCACTGAGTGAGGCCAGCAGAAGCAAAGGCTGTGCCACAGAGTGTGCCAGGAGCCCCACAGCACGTCTGTCCCCACAACTGGCTCAGGGTCTGCTCAGCCTGGGACTCTCTGCCTCCCTTTGTGTCTGCAGCCACTGAAGCCTCTGTGTAGGATCTGTCTGCTGCCAGTGTCTGCCCTGGACTGGTTTTGATGTCCAAGACCTGCCTCTGCTTCCCTCTCCATGCCACTCACATTGCCCCATCCCTCCCTGGTTGCTCTGCCTGCCTCTGTGGCCGCAGTGCTGTGCCTGGAGGCGTCTGCACTGGATCCCAAACACTGAGCCTCCAGCAGTCAGGCTCAGGGTGTCTGTCCTTGCTGTCTGTGTGCGTGATGTGAACCTCCCAGCACTGTGAGGTTGGGAGTGCTGTCTGTAACCTGGCTGTCCTTGAGGGAGTCTGTGTTCTTAATTAAATTCGCTCCCTTCTTAGGAAATGGCTGATGTGACATTAGATAAGCCTAAAACTAGCTTTTTCGTTCCAAGGCCCTCCTGGCAGCAATTCCCTTCTCTTTTTCAGCTTTTCCTATTTAGTTGCTTACTCAGTGAGAGGAGGAGGAGGAGGAAGAGTATGTCCCCTCTGTGGAATGGACATGGTGTAAAATGGGGGCTGGTGCTGCTGCTCTGGAGGGAGCAGGTGTCCCTCTGTGGAGGTGGCATTTCTGGGGGGGCTGATGCAGCCCCTTCCTCTGGCCCATGGCCCCTCAGAGGCCCTTGCTGCGTCTGGCCACGGTGATTAGGGCTTGCTGGCTGGGGCGAGGCACTGCCCAGGGGCTCTGGTGCTGAGATAAGGCACTATCAGGCCAGGCACACTCAGATCCCACTGGTCAGGGAGGTAAGACGCCGAGAGGGGTTTTATTTTATGTGGCTGCTTGGGAATAAGAGTTGTTTCAGTTTGATAAATGTATGTGTTGGGATAAGCTTGCAGGTGGGTCCCATCTGTACCTCTGGGCTGAGGAAATCCTTCACAGTGATCTGCCCAGGGTTACTGCCACAGCTGAGGTTTGGGGACCATCTCCTTCTCCCTGAACTCACATGGGTTAGGGCAAGGAGGGGCAAGGCAGCTCCTGTGGGCATGGGGTGGTGAAGCCAACTGTGAAACAAGCCCTGGGTGTCCCTAGAGCCCTGGACTCTTCCTGGAATGGGCACCTTGTGCCATGCAGCCCCAGCTGTGCATCCCCCTCTGTGGGGACACACACACCCCTTTGTTTGGACCCATTCTGGCCCTTCTGTGATCCTGCCCTGAGCTCCGGAATCAGAACAGACAATTCCTGGCAGGGCTTGCTGGAGCCCAGAGCTGAGCAGGGCTTTGATTCATTATCTGATTCTAAGGAGAGTGATTACACAGTCCCCTGTTCTCTTCCTGGCAGCCAAATGCAGGTGAGAAATGGGTTATGTTCCCTGATTGCGGCGGTTCCTCAAAGCGAGGGCTGGCACTGGCATCCACAACCCAGAAATGTCACCCTGATAACGCTGGGGAGCTGCACTGGGCACCTGATTGTGGAGCAGGAGCCCTCTGTTTTCAGGCCAAGTTGTCTCCAGCTTGGTGTCCCTGGCCAGGTCAGGGGGAAAACTGTGTCCCTGCCTGAGCTGCCTCCCCCCTGCCAAACTCTGGTGTGGGGTGGCATTTGGCCAGGGCTGACTAGGGAATTTCTCAGACCACTCATCAGGGAGGTGCGGGAGGGCAGCAGTCGGACCAAACATCACCCCTAATTTCCTCTCCTGTCTGCAGGGGCCTCACTGGACTGGAATACTCCCCTGCTCCTCTGGGATCTTCCAAGGCATCTCATTTCACGATGAAAAGCCTCGATAAGGGGACATGTCCCTGCCAGCAACCAAGCCGAGATCTTTGCCTGTCTCTGTGTGTGTCTCACTGGAGAGAAGGGGCTCCCTGCCAGCCTGGGCCGTGTTCCTGTGCCTGGGCAGTGCAGGGTCCCTGTCAGGGAACTCTGGGTGGGGGCAGCCACAGAGCAAACCCACAGGGGCACGGGCAGCATTGCTGGAAGAGCTGGTCATGTGTGGGGGGTAAGCAGAGGGGAGATCAGCAGTGAGACACAGCTTGGCCATGGTTTCTGTAGGAACCACATTTCATTAAATGCTTCTCCCTCCTCCTGCCGCCAGGGATTTGTGGGGAGCAGTCGTGTCGGACGTGGCCACAGCCGAACTTCGGGTCAGCAGCCCCGGTTGCCCGGCGTCACACCGCGGGTGCCAGGTTAGCATTCAGGAGGAAATGGCAGTGCTCCCGTGTAGATCCACTCCTTAATGTTTCCGGTATCGTTGAGTAGAAACAATCTGACCTCAGGGAAAAGAAATTAGCGGTGGCCTCAATTGCTTTGTGTTTTGTGTAAACAGCCTCACCGGCAGAACAACCTCCTCCTTCAGCCTGGAGAGACAACACGCTCTTGTCCGGAGTGTTGGCTCCCGCGGGGCTGACACACACCTTCGACTCTTCCTATTTGCGTGACCCTAACTTTAGGATTTCAGACTGTAATGAACCCGAGCGGGGCTGTCTGGGGCGGCGTGGGGGCACCCGTGACCGGGCAGCGGGACGCGGCTGCTCCGGGACACGCTGCTCCGTGACCGGAGTCAGAAACTCCCAGGAAACGTCTAAACCAGGCGCGTTCCTACTCCGTCGGTCACAGCGGCCTCGGAGCCCCGCAGGAGCAGCGGGCGAGGGGCTGCTCTGAGGGGAGGGGAGGGCGCGATCCCTCGGGGCAGCCCCCGCAGCGGTGGCCGGGAGGGGACACCCCGCATCCCGGGGGGATGCCCATCGTTCCGTTCCCCGGCGGGGCGGCCGGGTGCGATGCCGGGGCGCTCGCCCGCTGCGCGCAGCCCGTGTCCGCAACCGCAGAGCTGGGCGCCGTCCCGGGGCCGGTGCCCGGTGCGCTGTCGGTGCCCGGTGCGGGGCCCCTGCCCGGTGCGGGGCCGGTGGCGCAGAGCGGGCAGGGGGCGGTGGCCGTGCGGGGGCGGGCCCGGGCGGGGCGGGGGCGGTGCCGCCGGGCGGGGCAGCGGCGGGGCTGGGGCCGGTGCCCGGGCCGGGTCTCGGCGGTCCCTCCTGGCTCCGGGGTCGCGGCGGCAACGGGTGCGAAGCTGCGCGGCAGCGGCAGCCCCGGCCGGGCTGAGCCGATGCTGGCGGCCGAGCCCGCCGCTGCTGGAACCATGTCCCAGCCCGAGGCGGAGCGGGCGGGCGACGGCTCCGCACCGGAGCCGGAGACGGAGCCGGGGCTCCCCGGACGGGCCCCTCACCGCAGCCGGCGGCCCTCAGGTCGCGACTCTCGGCGCGCCTCCTCCCGCTTTAACCGGCGGAGCTCGGCCGAGCTGGAGCTTCTGGGGTACCCGGCGCCGGACGGGGTGCGCGGGGGGTCGCCGCCGCCGCCGCCACCGGTCGTCGCCGGGCTCCGGGAGCCGGAGGAGACGGAGAGCGAGGAGGTGGAGACGCGGGCGGTCGCCACCTCCCCCGACGGCCGGTTCCTCAAGTTCGACATCGAGATCGGCCGCGGCTCCTTCAAGACCGTCTACAAGGGGCTGGACACGGAGACCACCGTGGAGGTGGCTTGGTGCGAGCTGCAGGTACGGCCCCTGCCAGCGCCTCCGCCCCTGCCAACCCGCGCTCTACCCGCACCCGCAGACCCCTGCCCCGGGGCAAGGGGCTCGAGAGGGGTCACTGGACCCCTTCTCCGTCCAGTTTCCCTGGCATGTGCAGGCCCCCAGCCCTGAGCCCGCTGCCCCTTGCTGCCTGCCTGAAAGCTGTGTGGGACCCTTGGGGCACCTTCCCGGGCTGGAGCCTGTTCTGGTGATGGCAGGGACTCTTGAGCCCCCACTTCTGCCAGGCACTACCAGCCAGTCGGGCCACAGCAGCCGGGCAGGGCATGGAACCTGTGTCTGGGCACGGGCTCCCCTCGCTGCCCTGTGCTGTGCCCATCGCTGCCAGCGCCTTGGTGCCTCGCGGGGCTCCTGGCCTGGGCCCAGACTCCTGCTTAGCACCGCCGCTCCTGGCCCTCCTGCCCATCACGTGCTGTTTTCCGTTTGCCTTTTTGCTGCCTGCGCTTTGGAGCATGCCAGGGGACCCAACCTCTTGGTGCCAGTCCCTGCTCTGGGGCTTTACAGGTGGATCCAGGATGAGCTGCTGGGGCTGAACAACCCTCTGCCTTTCTGGTGCCCACCAGCTTGCAGATTTTCCCCTGGGAGGGTAGCAGTGCCCTCCCTGCCCACATGTCTGTGCCAGTGCTGGAAATGGCTCCGAGGTTTGCTCCGACAGCCCTTGGTTTGCTCTGGAGCACGTGCCTGCAGCAGGCGGGGGCTGGGTGTCAGTTGGGACCAGGGTACAACACGACCTTGATGTGCTCTGCCTGCTTGACCTTTGCTGAAGTAGAGTCCATGGGCACCTGTGTGTGGTTTCTGTGGCGCTGCCAGGGGCTCTCTGCTGGGAGCAGCTACCTGTGGTTTTCCAGGTCTCTGAGGAGTGTTTCTCTCTGCTGACATATTCCTTCATCCCCTTTGCTGCCCTACAGCCTGACAGCAGGATGCAGACAGTGGGATGCTGAGGGCAGTGGTGAAGGTGTTGCTTCTGCAATGCCTTCACCCACTTACTGGTTTTGATGGGGCTGATCTTGCCCGTGGAGTTGCACAAGGAGAGCTGTGCCACGGGGCTCCCTTTTCTCCTTGAAGCCCCTGGGGAAGGGCTTTGATGAAGTCCAAAGTCTCCCACAGGCTCCTGGCTCTGGGAAGGCTGCTGTGGTGGGAAGGTCCAAGTCCTTGTTGACACAGAAAAACATGTCTTGCGAGTTTGTTGTCTTGTTCCTAAAAGCTCGGTGCAGTGGCAGGTGTCTGCCTGGGCTGGGTCCTTGGGGTGGCTGCAGCCCAGCAGAGCAAGAAGAGATCCTGAGAGAGATGAGTGGTTTCTGGATGGCTGACTGTAGCCTCTTAGTGAGGGAGGTGAGGATTGCCTCCCCCCCTGTCATGGGTTGCACAGAATTACTGAGAGTTCAGTCCGGAGCTGACTCAGTTCTCCCACCCTCACACAACCCCACGGCTCTGTCCAAATGTCCCTGACCTCTGCTGAGTCCCGTGTACCTTTGGGTGGCAGCTGCTGCCGGGGATAAACTCTCCTTGGTGAGCCCAGGACTCCTCTGGATGAGTCAGCCGTGCCTGGTGCTTCCCACTCTGCTGGCTCCATGTCCTTCCCTGGGGGTCTCAGCCCCCGTGTCACAGCCGTGCCCCAGCTCCCCCTGTGTGCAGTGGGACTGGCAGCACATCTCCTTCCCTGCCCTCCTGCTCACCCCTGCAGCTGCACATGGGCAGCCCTGGTCTTTTGTTGAGGCCTCACCATCCAGGTGGGGGAAAGGAAGTTGGGAAGCAAAAGGCTCCTGTGCCTCAATCCAGCAGGCACATGCTGGCCCCACTGCCGGTCCTGCGAGTCAGCCAGGCAGGAGTGGCAGGAGCCACTTGCTTGGTCCCAGGGGATCTGGCAGGGGATGCATGCAGAGAGGCTGGGGTCTAAGCTGAGCTCCTGGCAGGGACCCTCCTGTGAGCATCCCATGGTGTTGGGAGACCTTGGCAGACCTGGCTCTCCTTGGCCTCCACCTTGCCAGGGGAGCACAACCAGATCCTTGTGGGCAGCCCCAGCCCTGCTCCCTCCCAGTGCTGCCCCCACACCTCTCCCTCCACCCCTCTGCCCCAGCCCTCTCCCCTCCCCACCCACTATTTGGCTTCGTTCCACTGAGCACTCTTTATGCAGTGTCTCTTGTCCCCAAATCCATGTCCCACAAGGGGCTGAGGGCACAGAGGCAGACTTTTAGAAGTTTGTTTTTTTCAGCAATCATGCAAAGAGTTGGACACTGTGACACAAATATGGGATTTGGAACCGCAAATAAAAGTGGTTGTGGTTCTGCCATTTTAAAAATAGCTTTGTCCTGTGCACTTCACAGTTCTCCTTCTATTGCCTTTCAATTCCAAATGAGTACCTAACCTCAGGCCTGACCTGTTCTGCACCAGCAAGCCTTGTTCAGCTGCTGTGATGGATCCCAGTCCCAAATCCCAGCTCTCCCTACTGTCCTCGCCCTGCCCTTCCCTCCTCAGAGCCTGGCGAACTGTAGTCTGGTTTTGCCTGTCCAGTCTTCCTGTGAGACCCCTCTGGGGACTTGCCCAACCCCATCCCCTCGTACCACTGCCCCCTACTCCTGAACACAGCATCTGTCTGTGCCTCCTGCCTGTGTCCACAGCCCCGCTGTTTGTGCTTTCCAGCTTTAGCCCAGGACTATTTCTGTGGTAGGTGCTGCGGGCAATGGGGAAGGAGGAAGCAGGGAGGAAACCGGAGGCCCAGAGTGGGGTTGGGCTGTAAATACCTGTCTGTGAGTGATTTTCCTGTGGAACCCCTTGGGGCTCCTCAGTGGGCAAGAGAATCCTGGGCAGCGGGTGCTGTCGTGCCTCCGCAGATTGAACTGGTAACCTCAGCCAGCAGCCCCGGGGCTGTGGGGCACCTTGTGTGTGTGCTCACGTGCCTGTGAGCACGCAGGAGCTCCCTGCTGGGCAGGGCAGACTTAAGGCAAGGCAGTGAGGCACTGGCACCCACTGCTGCTGTAGAGTTGGCTCCTGTGCAGGGGGCTCGGGACCTCCCTGTGGCTGGAGGTGCTGTGGCCATGGCTGGGCGCTCTCCAGCACCCACTCTGTGCCCCACCAGGGTGTTGCTGTGAATGCTCCTCCAGAATGCAAGTGCCACTGTGCAGCCAGGGCCCTGGAGGGCTGTGGGAGCAGGACAACCAAGGGCTGTGGGAATAGGAGAGCCCTGTGAGTGCTGCAGAGTGTGCCGAGCACCAACACTGCCAAGTGCTGGGGACAGGTCCTGCTGCAGAGGCGAGAGCCATCCTCATCCACCCTTCCCAGCCCTCCCTTCTCCCTTGCTGGCCTCAGCTCCTGGTGTTGGCTGTGCCGGGCTCCCTGGCAGCCAGCTCCTGGCTCACAGGATGGGGCTGGACTACTGCCACCAGCTCCTCACCGTCCCCACACTGCCATCCCCAGTGTCCTCCTCCGCCCTGTGCGGGTGCTCTCAGGAGAGGACGTGGTGTGCCCGTGCCATGCAGCATGTCCATGCTGGTAGCCCTGCCTGCCCTGCCCTCCCTGGTGCTCCTCCAGCCACAGATCCCCGCAATCAGTGGGGAGAGCATCAGGATGCCTGGGACTGGGAGCGGCTGCCGCTTTGGTCATGCGGGAGGGACGGTGCCAGGT